TCAAATCCCAACTTACTTGCTGTGTGGCCTTTAGGAGGCTAACTAACCTCTCTGTGTTTTAGTTTCCTCCTTGTGGAAGGAGGATCCCGGTGTCAGGCTGTTGGGAGCAGGGCAGGGGTCACTGTGTGTGAGGCACACCCTGCGGTGACCCGCATGGGGTCTCGAAGTGATGCTTTGGAGCTGGTGCTGCAGATCTGGGCAGTGAGTCGGGGAGAGGAGTTGGGAGGGATGCCCACGTGGCTGGCTTGGGCAACTGGGAGGTTGGGCTCCCGGGTTTGGGGAAAGAAGTGGATGAGTTTGGCCTGGGGCATGAGATCGAGCGTGAGCCGATGGACAGACAGTTGAAGCTAAGGAAGCTCAAACAGAGGTGTGGATCTGAGCCTTCTCAGGGTCAGAGAGGTGGCCGATCCCGGAAGCTGAGGAGGGGGCCCAGGGGAGAAGCGGTCCTGGAAGGGAGTCTGCAGAGAGGACAGACGGAGAGGGATGTCTTTTCAGGGGGAGAGACTCGAGCCCGTGTAGAGGCCGCCAGGAGGAGGGAGCCTGCAGAGAGCACACGGGAGACAGATGCCCTCAGTAAGCATCTGTGGCCTTGCTTCCTCTCGTCTTCATCATCACCAGCATCAGTGTGAGAGGACTGGATGCTCGTAGCAGCCTGCCACGCAACCAATGGGGATTATTTATAACAAACCTATAATGACCCTGGAGATGCTTTGAAAGGTGCAAGAAAAAAGCAACATAAAACAATGTACGTGCACTATGTTAGCTACAGGACCACTTCCAAAAATGTATTCATAGAAAAAATCACAGGAAGGAAACGTGCTAAGAAATAGTAGTGCTGCTTCTAGGTGGTAGCAATATGGCAGGCATCCTGAATTTGCTGTAGTGAGTATGTCTTATCATTTAAAAATACAGTAAACTATGAACAGACACTTCTCCAAAGAGGACATCCAGATGGCCAACAGACACATGAAACAATGCTCAGCTTCCCTCCTCATCAGGGAAATACAAATCAAAACCACACTGAGATACCACCTCACGCCAGTCAGAGTGGCTACAATGAGCAAATCAGAGGACACTAGATGCTGGTGAAGATGTGGAGAAACGGACACCCTCTTGCACTGTTGCTGGGAATGTAAACGGGTGCAGCCCCTCTGGAAAACAGTGTGGAGGTTCCTCATAATTTAACAATAGAACTCCCCTATGACCCAGAAGTAGCACCTCTAGGAATTTACCCAAGGGATACAGAAATGCTGAGGCATAGGAGCACATGTACCCCAATGTTCATAGCAGCACTCTCCACAATAGCTAAAACATGGAAAGAGCCTAAGTGTCCATCCACAGATGAATGGATCAAGAAGATGTGGTTTATCTATACCATGGAATACTACATGGCAATGAGAAACAATGAAATCTGGCCATGTGTAGCAACATGGATGGACCTTGAGGGTGTTATGCTGAGCGAAATAAGTCAGGCAGAGAAGGACAAATATCATATGTTTGCACGTATAGGAGGATTAGGAGGAACTTGACGGAGGAACAAGCGGGAGAAGAAGGGCGGAAATGGTGGGGGAGAGGGAGAGAGGCAAACCATGAGAGACTCTTGAATGCTGACAAAAACTGAGGACTGATGGATGTGGGGGGGAGGGGGGATGGGCATGGAGGAGGGCACTTTGGGGATGAGCACTGAGTGTTATGTAGAAACTAATTTGACAATAAACTATTTGTAAAAAAAAAAAATACAGTAAACTTCATTTTTTAATTTATTTTGAGGGGGAGAGCCAGCTAGCATGCACGTGGATGGGGGAGGAGTAGAGAGAGGGTGTGAGAGAGAATCCCAAGCAGGCTCCTTGCTGTCAGTACAGAGCCCGATGAGGGACTTGATCCCACGAATGATGGGGTCATGACCTGAGCTGAAATCAAGAGTTGGATGTGCAACTGAGGGAGCCATCCGGGTGCCCTGAAACTTCATTTTATAAAAAGAAACAAACTAGGGCAGCTAAGGGCTGTCCCTGCCAAGGTCATGGTGATCTTGGGCAAATCCCTATTTAATGAGGGCTTTGGTCTCCATGTCTATAGAAAAAGGGGCTGAACAAAACAGTCATTCTTCCTGAAGGTGGGCTCCCAGGGACTCTGCCTTGCAGACAGCTCCCCCTCCCAGATAGCCATAAGGCCTGGGTCCTCACGCTATCACTTGAATCTCTGCTTAAAGTCCACTTTGCTGAGTGCTCAGGCTTAAGGAGGCTTCATCCCCACTGCCCCCTCCCTGCATACCTCCAGCTGTCTTGCTTCATGAGAGAAGGAACCGTGGTATCATGTGGTATCCCTAGTCCTAGGATGGTGCCTGGCTCATTGTAGGGGATGGTGTTTACTGGATGGGTGAATGGGTGGGTGGACAGATGGATGGGTGGGTGGATGGATGGGTGGTTGGATGAATGGGATGGATGGGTGGATGCGTGGATGGGTGGGTGCATGGTTGAATGGGTGGATGGATGGATAGATGGGTGGGTGGATGGGTGGGTGGACGGATGGATGGGTGGATGCGTGGGTGGGTGGGTGGGTGGAAGGCTGAATGAGCGGATGGATGGATAGATGGATGGGTGGATGGGTGGGTGGACAGGTGGGTGGCTAGATGGATGGGTGGATGGGTGGATGGACACAGTGGCCCCTCTGGACTCACAATCCACAGTAATGTATTAAAAACTTTGAGAAGATCTGCATTAAAAGCCCCAATCCAGGGTCTGTTAATACCTTGTGGAATCAATGTTTCAGGGAACACACTTTGGGAAATACGCCCACAACATGACCCCCAAGTTCCACCACTGCATGAGGAGCCCCTGCTGTGGGGCTCAGCCGGAGGCCCTCTGGGGAGGTAAGCGTGTCCTGCTCCTTGCCTGTCCTCCTGGGCCTCATACCTCCCCACCTGGCTCCCGAGCAGGCCGGGTCCTCTCCATCCATGGCTACTGGTTGATGCCTGAGCCTCAGAGTTGTCTCATTCTGGGAAGAAGATGCAGGAAGGAACATGTCAGAACAAGGGAAAAGCCTTTTCCTGCAGCATCTGGGTTTCTGAAAATCCTCTCACATCAGCCTGATGCCGCAGACCTGCCATGATCGAAGGTGGGACACAGGGCTGCCTCTATGGTAGGGGCTGGGAGATGCAAGTAGAGAATCATTTGGCATCTGGGCTCCCTTTCACTTCTTCGTTATATTAAGCTCCTGTATGACTAACTTTCTCCCACAGTGTTTCCCAAGATGGTATGCCATGGAACGTCGGTCTGTGACCAATAATCAGCATCATGGGAGCAAGAGTGCCCAGTGCTAAGTGTGGGAAATGCCAGTCTTCTTCATTATAGAGTTTCCAATGCATTAAACAGGCAACCTGTGCTCGAAGCTCTATTGACTACACACTGTACATAGTATGTGGCACTTTCCGAAGTCATTTGGAAGCCCTGTATGAGCGACTTCCTGAATGGCGCTCTGCAGAGCATGGGTGTAGAACATACTTCAGGAGACCTGTGAGTGTCACCCTTCGCTCTGCCACCAGCTAGCTGGGCAGCACCTCTATCTCTCTAATTCTCTGTCTCTTCATCTTTGGAGAGGGCCCAGAGTGATCCTACCTCTCAGAGCTGCTGTGCAGATGAATTTTGGCCACAAAGCAAGAACTCTGCTAGTGCCATGGCCGAGGGCAAAGACAGGGCAGGTTCTGAGTTGGGCACAGAGCCCTCTCGCCTCCCTGCATCCATCCCAGGACTGACTCATTATCCTCTTTCCAACTTGCAGTGCTCTCTTCGTCTTGGCCAAGGGCACGGCCATCTGACCACAGAGCAGTCGGAGAGCCGAGTCGCCGCCTCTGACCACACGCGACCCTTCACCTGCTGACGTTTCCCCTGAAACCTCCCTTGGACAATCCCTTCGCTTCTCCCCTTCCGCCACTGGCCGCCGGGTCTGTGCCATCAGCACCTCACCGAGATTAGGGCAACAGCCCGTCGGCTGTCACCGTCCATGGCCGCGCTGAGCTGATGTGGCTGTGGGCCACTGGGAGGAAGAGGCCTGGCAGCCGCCCCTGCTTGGGGGCCTCCTGTCCCAGCAAGGTCTTGGGGGGTCGAGGCTTTGTTTGCCCGGCAGTGGTGGTGCTTGGCCACCACTCTGCTGATGAGTGAACCAGTGAGTAGTGGATGCCTGTGAGGCTCATACTGGGCGGTTTAAAGAATTCTATTTAAAATGTAGACGTATATGAAGATGACAGTAATAGTGTATATACATCTCCTTTGTCCATGACTGAGCCTGGAGGACCGTGGAAGTATACAGAAATAAAAGCAGATCTTAACAGCTTATAAGATCAGTAATGGGTCCCTTTCCCCTTCCCTGAGCTGGTCCTTCCCTTAATTCTGAATGTAAAGATCATCATTTTTGTCAGCATTACACACCAAGTAAAATAACAACTAGGTCTGGTAAGTAAGCTGAATTTTTAAAAAAAGTTTTTATTTATTTTTTTTAAAGTAATCTCTACCCCCAACGTGGGGCTCGAAGTCACAGCCCCGAGATCAAGGGTCGAGTGCTCCTCCGACTGAGCCAGCCGGGCGCCCCCAAGCTGAATTCTTTAAGATCATCTAATCTGATGACCGCTTCCACACCATAGGCGAACTCCAGCACCATTTGCAAATGACCCAGGTGAGAAAAAAATATGTATGTGAAACAGAATATAGTGTGAATCATATCTAATTTTAAATATTTTAATTTATATAGTTTCACGATTATAGGTTGATAAGAAATCGTTTACAGATTTAATTTCATTATAGAATATATTTGATAAGGATACATACAAACAGATTCATCTTTAATACACGCTGTTTTCCGGTGCGCTGCCCATTTGCAACAGGCGGGAGCTGGGATAAAAATGTTTCCAAGTGTTGTGCTCAATCAGCCACTCTAAACAACCAGCACCGTAGAGATCCAGGTAATTCCACGCATTGCCTTGCCTAGAACAAGTAGAAATCTTCGCGTTTGTTTTTAAGTCTGTTTATTACTCTCCTATTTTAAAATCTGAGATACATTCCCCAATGTAAACAATAAATTTCAATCTGTCACACAATCAAAATGGATAAGGCCTTCTTGACAAACGTATGCCACCCGTGTTTTACTCATTGGAACCCAATCTTATTTTGTGGTGTAATGAGCCATCCGTGCACAAGAGACAGGAAAAGAAGCTGCCCGTAGTACCTGGTGGAACCTTCCAGAACTTCTCCCCGCTGCAGGTTTATTGTACACTTAAGAGATATCGTTTTGACTTGGTCTACTTGGTCTTAAAATACAAATATACAATGTCCATAAGCATAGAATAGTAAAGCCTAGCCTTCTGTATTTATTAGGAATCGCTACAATCCTATACAAGTACAATACCGTATCATGCCGATTACTATACAGAGGAAGGTGGCTCAATGTCTGTGCCACGCTTCAGGCCACGTGAACGGGGAACAGAAGGGTGTTAAGCGGGTGACTGCATCTGGTTAGGCAGACGGTGTAAACTCTGCAATGCCTGTATACCCTGCTGAAATATTTAATTGATCTGGCGTTCAATCTGCTTAACACGAGAAGAATACGGCCCCTTTCTCATCAGCCTCCTGGAGGCAGGACTGGATGAACCCTTGGAAAAATGTAACCCAAACGAAGTCCTAGTTGCATTTCCTGATTCAGCTGTGCGAAATCAGCAATCCACTCTCTTTCTCATGCGGTCTATCCTTTCGGGACCAATTAGTCACTCGCGATCACAATTCGGTACCTCGTTATTTTCATAAATATCTGACTCAGCAAGCTAGGTGGTGAAATAGGAAAGCCTATATACAATATTTTAAAAGGCATTCTGTGACCGTGTTGGAAGGGTTCATAGAAAAGTGAAGGATGTGCCGGTCGCTTCTGTGGATGTCACCGTAATGTAAACCTTGGCATCTTTGTATTAAATGTGCGCTGTTTCATACACTGTGCAACAGAGGAGAACAGAGAACCGCCATCCGGGGTGACGCTCACTGGCGCGCGAAGCTAAGGGAGTGGTTTTCCTGAGGTTTGTCAGAACGTCGCAAACAAAACAGAAATCACAGTGGCGGAGCGTCGCACGAGCCCGTGCCGGCCCCTGTCCTGCTCCCCGCAGTTCTCGCTGGGGCTAAATCACCCGCCACTGCATGATGCTCGTGTCCTTGCCGCCCGTGGAGATGAGGTGGCTGTCGCCACAGAGGAAGTCGACGTTGGTGACGTGACTGCTGTGTCCACTGTAGACGTGGCTAGGAGCCTGGGAAAGAAGGACACAGAGAGCTCAGCGCAGGGTGCCCCACGTGCAGTCGGAAGGAGCTAGAATTCTGCGTTCGCTCTTCCCTCACTCGGCAGCTCCGCCCCCTGTGCACCTGCTTTGTGCGCAGGCACAGGCGGGTCACGGAGACAAGTGACACGGAGGCCCTCCCTGGACAGCGAGAGCCTGGCCTGGCTGGGGGACAGACACAGGCAGATGACTGCCCCGGTTGGGACATGTTCAGTACCGGAGGGCTGTACCAGGCGTGGCAGCCCAAGAGGGGAGCACCCAGGGGCCACGGGTTGAGGGTGAAGGCCAGAGGCCATCAGGTCTGGGAAGGACAAGGAAGGGGTTCTAGGCACTGGTATGGCTCGGGGGGTGCCTGGTGAGGGGAGAGGCGTGAGGCCACCGGGCTTTGTGGGTGCGGGTTCTCCCCGGAAGAACTCTGGGACAGCAAGATGACAGGGTCATGTCTGCGTGTGCGACTGGCAGGACCACCACGGTGCCTTTCTATCAGTTACCGGAGAGGAAGCTCAGGCCGGAACGCATGCGCCCCGGGGGCAGGGTCAGCGCAGAAGACCATACCCTGAACTGTGAGCAGGGGTAAGAGAAGAGGTGCACTTTGCCAAAGTCGTCGCCGGTGGACAGGAGTTTTCTCTCATGCGCCCGACAGACAGCATTGATGTCGGTTCCGTCCGAGCCTTCCGGCCACACTCCTAAAATGAGCACAGACAGAGCACTGAAAACTCCGGAAACACTAGGCCACACAGCACGGGGACTGCCCTCGAGCTCTCAGGAAGACAAGACCGCTAGAAGCCCTTGGTTTTCGAAGCCAGGGCCGAAAGAGCGCTTTGTCTCAGCTCCGAGCCTGTCCACAATCGTCTCACCCTTCAACGCTAGTCCGTTCTGCCGCATGGGAGCAGCCATGGTGGGCTTTCTGGGCCACCACATCTTTTGGGGCCCCTTTTTGACTCTACAGCAGAGAGAGCGCCAGAAACCCCAGTTTTGGACCCAAAGCCTTTCCTTTATTCCCAAAGCGTCGGAGAGGAAGGCGACTAGTCTTCAGCCTGCAGTTTCCTAACTTTTGTTTGTTTGGGGTAACTCTTTATATGTGACAGTCTCCCCAAAGGACTTTTGGAGTCTGAACGTGCCTTGGTGTCTGCTCTCCGTGGCTGCTGCTTGCCTGGTGGCATTGGCAGGTACCGTGTCTGCCTGCCACGGGCCTGGAGCCTGGTCCGGGGGCTAGTGTCTCCTGATTACTGCTCTGGGACACGCTGTTGGTCCCGATGAGTTTGGATGTGAGAGAGCTGAATGGGCAAACGCTTCTCAACTGGCAGATGTAGCATAAACCCCCGGGTCCTGGCATTTATACCAGAAGATGATCAAATGCCAGCTCTAAAGAGATTTGTGCAATTCTGATAGACTTATTGACTTACAGTCTTACATAGAGATGATAAAAACTGTTTTTTCTTTTTTATTCCACGACATGGTGGTAATTTATTTGAGATCATTTATAAATATATTCTGATCTGAACTTAAAAATTTTTTTTTAACGTTTATTCATTTTTGAGAGACAGAGTATGAGCAGGGGAGGGGCAGAGAGGGTGGGAGACACAGAATCTGAAACAGGCTCTAGGCTCCGAGCTGTCAGCACAGAGCCCAACACAGGACTCGAACCCATGAACCGTGAGATCATGACCTGAGCCAAAGTCGGACGCTTAACCGACGGAGCCACCGAGGCGCCCTTCCGATCTGAACTTTAAAGGGAGTAGAAAATTGACAGAACCAAGACAATATAATAACTCTAACAAATGACAGATAGATTGAGCGCCATCTGGCCCATCTCTGCAGGAAGTCCAGCACAACCTCATGTGAGAAGACCCTGGAGCATTATGTCAGGACTAATTTCATGCAATAGGAAAGGTTTAAGACCTAAGTCCCCGGTTCTTTCCTGGCCCTTCCCCTAGGAGCCACAGCAGAATCCTTGCAGCATTCATGTGGCAGCAGAGGGGTCCGACAGAAGTGGGGGCTGTGAGAGGTCACCACTGTTAGAGAAATATTCTGAGAGCAGATCCCTCTTATGTTTGAACTGAATGAAAGGCACAGAAAACTTACCAAAGACGTGGAAACCCAAAGTGCAGGTGTATGTAGCCCATTCAATGTCTCTCGTGGCCTCCACACTTACGACTTGCTTACAAGCAGAGGGAACCCCTGGAAAAAGCAAATCCAAGTTTGGTGTCACCTGAGCCCGAGGCCCCTCTGCTCCGTGACCAGGGAGGCCCTACAGCTGCACCCCGTCCGCTACAGAGGCCTGTGGAGTGGGACCCTCTCCCCTTCTCGGCCCCTTGGGGGCTATGCTCGCAGCGGGAACTGTGCCCAAGCCCTGGGGCCTCCGTGGAGGGGAGGGGCGGCACCTTCTATCTCCTTCTCTGGGTCTGTTTCCCGCAGCCTGGTTTCTCTGTCCTTTGGCCGTCTCCGTGCCTCCCCCCTCACTGCCCACTGGCTCCCTCCCCTAAACAGCTCTGCTGCCTGCTGCCAGGCCCCCAGCCACCCCCAACACACACACACACACACACACACACACACACACACACACACACACACACACACCTTCAGCCCTGAGTTAGTGATGGACACCAGTCTCACCCAGGTGATTCATTTATCCCTCAAATGGGAACTCACAGAGTATGAGACCATGTCTGAGAAGATTCTAGACCCCTCGCCGGCTTCTCAGAACTGTCCCCCTGGTTCTGCCCTGTGTCAGGCAGGGCCTCAGAGCGGCGGGGAGGGTAGACTGTGCTGCCGGGCCGCTGGAGGGAGGCATGGTCCTGGTCCCCGCTGGTTCCCTATGTTCCGACCGCCGCCCCCCCCCCACCGACCTGGGTCCTCAGCACGGGGAGGGACCTGGGTCCTCAGCGGCTGCCCCCAACCCAGTGGCTCTCGATGCCTATGGCCTGTGTCTGAGCCCAGGTTTCCTGCCTACAAAACGGGGTAAGTCTGGGGCACCCAGGGGCTCAGTCGGTTAAGCATTTGACTTCGGCTCAGGTCATGATCTCATGGTTTGTGAGTTTGAGCCCCGCGTTGGGCTCTGTGCTGACAGCTCAGAGCCTGGAGCCTGCTTCAGACTCTCTGTCTCCCTCTCTCTGACCCTGCCCTGCTCGTGCTCTGTCTCTGTCTCTCTCTCTCAAACATAAATAAAATCAAAAAAAAAAAAAAAAAAAGGATAAGCCTGAGAGAGCTATGGACTTGACACGTAAGTAAACTTTGGGGCATCACCCAGCGGGGTGGAAACTGGGCCATCCTCACGCCCTATGACGCCCTGTGCTCAGCCCAGAGCTGGGCACACGGCAGGTGCCCGGCACACATCAGAGGGACACACGGTGCTCAATGAGTGCTGGCCCTTCTCAGACACTGCCTGGAGAGGTGGGGGAGGAGGAGGAGGGGCCCAGGGGCTTCTGTACCCGCCCCCCACCCCCCAGGCAGGGGAGACGTCACTGTCTCTGCCTTTTTGGAATGATGCCTTCACGAGGGTCCCTCTGGCTGTGACGGCTCTGTCCCCTCTTCCACAGCGTCCCCCTCGGATGTGGGCCTCCTCCTTGGAGCCTCGCATCTTCTGCTCCACAGGGGCCCCCGTCCGCCCAGGCCCCCAAGTATCTCAGTGGCGGGAGGGACCTCAGAGGTGGTCCTGCCCAACTCCCCCGTTTTATGGAAAAGTTTGAAAACAAGGCCCAGAGATGATGCCACACGCCCAGGAAGTAGGGGAGTGGGGTCTGCAGGAGACCCCGCTCTGGTGTCCGACTGAACAATCTCTGTGACCCGAACCCGGGCATGTCCCGGGTGCTACTCACAGTAGAGGATTTCGTAGTCTCCGGAATTGGACACGAGGAACTGTGAGTTCACAGACCAGTCCAGGTGCGTAATGAAGCTGGAATGACCCTGGGGGCAGAGAGAGCAGGGTGCGTGTCATTCGCCTGGGCTCCAGCACTGCTGCCCGGGGCGGCGGTGGGGCCCCCCCCATCTCCGCGGAAATGCTCAGAGCGCCTACCGAGCACTTGCCGACGCGAGTGTACTTCCTCCCGTTGTCGCTGACCCCGTAGATGTAGATACAGTTGTCGTGCGAGCCTATTGCTAAGAAGTTCCCGTCTGCAAAAACATGCAGGTGACATTTCCATTGGTAAAAATAAACGCTTGTCAATTACAAGGGATGATGCCAGCTTACGTCACAGATTTAGGGGGAAAAAATAGCCAGATGGATGACTTCATTCAAAGAGAAGAGTTTACTTTTCTGGGAGTCCCATACCACTTGCAAAGCTGTCTTGAAAATCCGCCCCGACCCGATCTCCCCCCAACTGATAACCCCGTCCCTGCCACTCCCACACGGAAGGAGACTCGTTCCCTTGGTGGCCCCCGAGGCCCTCCAGGCTGTGGCCGCCTCGCTCCTCACCACATGCCAGACTCTCAGACCTCCGCACAGGCTGTTCTCACCCACCCCCACCCGGCATCTCCTGCCTCACCTCTGCCTGGAGGGCCCTTCCCAGCTCTCTTCCCATAGGCCATCAGTTACCACTTTCATCTGGGTCTCTGGCCTCAGGAAGGACTAAGGAATCAGGCTTCAGAGCGTGTGTGGGGACACAGGGAGGAAGCAGCTCAGTGTGACCTGAAAGCACAGCCAGCACTGGTGGCTGACAGATGAACGTGCCACGTGTGAAGGCAGAGGGGGACCCGGAAGTGCTAGGAAGGAGACAGGCCTGAGCCACTAACCCAGAGGCAGTCAGGCCTTCCCGAGCACAAGAGCCAGAAGGAAGGGGAAGGGAACCGCATGGGGGGTGGGCGACCTGAGGCCCCACGTGGGGCAAAGAGTGGCGGGGGTTCCGCACACTAGCTCGGGGGCCGTGCACGCACCCCTGCTCTCACTCAGCATCTGTCTCTCCCCCTACAAAGCAAGGCCCGTGGCGCCTCCCCACAGCGATTCGGAGGGTTTTCCTGACGGCATCTGTGAAGGTCCCCGCGGTCACCGGCCTGTCATCAGGCTTCCAGGAAGGTTCCTGCCCCCACCTCCTTCATCAGATTTTCCTTCTCCCAGGATAGGGAGTCCTGCAGGCAACAGCACGGCCTGAGACCATCAGGAGATGGCGTTTCAGGAAGTCCTGGCCCGGCGGCCAGCTCCAGATGAGGGCGTCGGCAAGACCAAGTCAGCCTGTCCAGAGCACAAACCCTAACAGAAGGAGGAAACTGGCCCAAGACAGCGGAGGCCTGGAGGAGGGCACCATCAGTTGCCGACGGTTCTCGAGAAGGCCGGCAGCTGCATGGGAAACTACACACACGCGTGATTCCTCCAAGTGACTGGGGCCCACAACAGTGACGACAGGAGCTACGCGCCAATGACAAGGACTACAAAGTTATAACCGTCCACATTCACACAGAGCCCACTATGTACTATTCTAGACGCATCCTGTATCCGTTTATTTAAACCTCATAAGCCCTACAGACAGGTAGGTCTGAGCACCCCCATTTTCAGGAGAGGAAACTGAGGCATCCATGGTAAAGTAACTTGCTCAAGGTCATACAAGTTTATGGAAGCTGGGATTCGAACCCGGGCAGTCCGACTCCAAAGCCCCAGCATCTCACTGCTAATCCTGGACCCAGCTCAAGGGTGAAGAACAGCTGAAAGTCTGCCATGTGAGGCGTTGGCGTGCTGGCTTGTATGCTCCTTGGAGATGATCACAAGGAGCTCATCACCTGTTAACTCTGAAATAACGAGGCCTCTTGCAGAATGGAACCACTTGTTACACTTTTGGGCTCCAGCTCTCAGATTTAGACTATTCTACGTTCCTCATGTAAGTGGGAGCACACACTGTCTTTTTGTGACTGCCTCCTTTTGCTCAGTGTAATGTCCTCATCTGGTTGTAAAAGCAAGTGTCAGAATTTCCTTCTTTAAAAAGTTTTTAAAATGTTTATGTTATTTTAGAGAGAGAGACAGAGCTGAATGGGGGAGGGACAGAGAGAGAGGGAGACACAATCCGAAGCGGGTTCTAGACTCCAAGCTGTCAGCACAGAGCCCAACATGGGGCTTGAACCCATGAACTGCATCATGACCTGCGCCGGTCAGATGCTTAACCGACTGAGCCACCCAGATGCCCCCAATTTCCTTCTTTTTAAAGGCTGAGTGACATTCTGTTGAATGGCTATCCGACATTTTGCTTATCCATCCATCTATTGATGGACACTTGGGTGCTTCCACAGTTTAGCTACTGTGGATAACAATACTATGAACATGGGTGCATGAAGCCACTTTGAGACAAGGGTCACCTGGTTAATGGAGAAAGGTTGCCCTGATCTGGCCTCGAGCCATTATCTTTGCCCCGCACAGTCTCCAGTCAATGACTCCAAAACCCGAGATGCAGAATTACTGTAAAAACAGCTCTCTGATCCCCAGGGGATGGTCATCAAATTAAGTGACAAGAAATATACTCCCCAAAGGACTCTGCTCATGTTAGCAGGAGCTGCTAGATATCTGTGGGCTTTCTAGAAGTGAGTGTAGATGATGGGCTCTTGTACTTCACAGACACTCAACAAGAAAATGATGAGAAACACACAAAACACAGAAAAGGATGCAGAATATTGGCCAGAATGAACAGAATGAAATACGATGCTTAAAACGTCAAGAATGAAAGGCATCCCGAACTGAGTAGGCTCCTTCTCAACGTCGGAAAAGGTTCCAAGCGGTATGTTTAGGGTGGGGAGTTATGAACTTTGTTCAGGCACAAGAAAAACATGCCTGGAGGGGTTGCTCCTTCTACGACGTTCCCCGTAGGGACCAAGGACACAGCCCACCACGGAGCAGGGACCACTGTCAATCAGTTTCTAAAACAGAGGATTCGTACAGAGCAGTAGCAGTTGAGTCTTGGCCAAGTATTTCCAAAGACTAAGCTGCTATTTCCTTCAAAAAAATTTTTTAGATGTTTATTTATTTTTGACAGAGAGAGAGAGAGCGTATGAGCACGAGCACACACAAGAGGAGCAGAGAGAGAGGAAGAGAGAGAAAGAATTCCAAGCGGGTTCTGCACTGTCATGAGGCTTGAACTCCCCAACCGTGAGATCATGACCTAAACCAAAAGCAAGAATCGCACACTTAACCCACTGAGCCACCCAGGTGCCCCCAACTGGTCACTGTTGAAGGGCACAGAGAACAAACTCCTTCCCCCAGAAACTGGTAAACAAAGTAAAAGAAACCAGGCATTTATCCTGACTTTCCTTAATGAATGCTGCCATACTGTTAAGTAACAAAAGAGATGATAAGCAGTTTCTCTTTGCAGAAATATTATATTCAATGAGTGAACAAGAAAATTAACACTGGGAAAGCACTCATCTGCTGCCTCTTATGGATCTAGGCATTGGGCACCGACAGCTGCTAATATCACAAAACGTGAGACGAGCAGACGGGAGCCTCCCATAGAAGGAAGACGCCAGTACACATTGAACCTGAACAGCATCCAGACACTAGATCCAAAAATCACATTGGAGAAAGTACAGGGGACAGAGGAGCATGCTGAACGCCACCAGGGGGATGCACTCAGCAAAACCCAGAGTGGGGAAAACGCTACGGGAAGAATGAGTCCATTCCTCCAGCAAGTGAACAGGGCGCACAGGAAGAATGGGGGTGAGAGGGGGGTCGGTGGGGGGCACAGAACAAGCACAAGGAACTACGGATTAGAAGGGAGTTCAGAGACAAGGCAAGCCATTACTGTGTGTGAGTCTTTTTTGGATCCCAAATTATTTATTTAAAAAAATTTTTTTAATGTTTTTATTTATTTCTGAGAGAGAGAGAGAGAGAGGGGGAGAGAGAGAGACAGCATGAGTAGGGGAGGGTCAGAGAGAGAGGGAGACACAGAATCTGAAACAGGCTCCAGGTTCCAAGCTGTCAGCACAGAGCCCGATGTGGTGCTCGAACCCACAAACCGTGAGATCATGACCTGAGCTGAAGTCAGATGCTTAACCGACTGAGCCACCCAGGTGCCCCTTTTGGATCCCAATTTAAACCGTTAAAAAAAAGCCAATTGAAAATTGGAATAGTGACTGGATAGCTAATGATATTAAGAGGCTGTTGCTAATTTGGGTTGAGGAGGTGAAGGTGACCCTGTGTCTGTGCTAAGAACAAGTGGGCAGGACTTGTAGCTAGTGACCTAGGGAGGAGCCTGGCAAATCCTCTCCCCATACGGTAGTCGTAACGATGCTCGAAACTGACATAAATAACCATTTCAGGACTCTGGAAATTGATCCAAGACACAAAACCATCTGAGGAGTGTTTATACTTTAAAAATTGCTGACTGTGGGGGCGGGGTGGTGGTGGCAGCAGCTGGGAGGCTCAGTCGGTGAAGCGTCTGACCTCGGCTCGGGTCATGATCTTGCAGCTCGTGGGTTCGAGCCCTGTGTCGGGCTCTGTACTGACAGTGCGGTGCCCACTTGGGATCCTCTGTCTCCCTCTTTCACTCTGCCCCTCCCCCACTAGCGTGCACGCGCTCTCTCTCAAAAATAACCATCCGGGGTGAGAGCAGTAGGAGTGTGGGGTGTGCTTGCCTAGGGCTAGGGCTATTCTCACCCCTCTGGCTCGGCTGGCTCAGGGGGTCTGGCAGGGCAGAGCCGGCTGTGAGGACCAGGGGCTTTGTTTCCGGGGTCAAGCTCCTCACAGAGCCCTGGGAGACACCTATGCCCAGCAACCCCATCGGCGGAAGTAACAATCTCCAGGGCGGTTGAGTGGAGAGGGCCAGTGGCCTGCGGTTCCTGGTGATGGGGGGCTGCATGCTGGCACAGGGCAGGCAGGCGAGGCCGCCAGGGACCCGCCATCCTGGCCACGCTGAGGCTGCACAGAAGTGAACAGCGGGCAGACCTGGAAACAGCCCGAATCTGGCCACGCTCTTCCACCTGCACACACGACCCCTGGCAGAGGATGCGAGCCTTCCTGGCTTGACGTGTCTGAGCACAACTCTGTCCGGTCTTCCATTCAAACCACACGAGGCCAAGCTGAGAGAGGAGGCAAGAGAAATGACCAATTCCACAGGAACAGCTGGAGATTCCCATCCCTCTCTCTCAGCAACTGAGAGAACAGTCAGACAGAATATCAGCAGGGACACAGATGAACTGAGCAACCCCATCCATTAACTCTGAAGATTATCAACCCACTTGTCCTAACTGGCTTTTCTAGAACACTCCACCCAGGAGTGTGGAACACACATTCTTCTCAAGTATATCTGGACGTCATCCAGGATAGATCCCATGTTAGGCTATGAAAACCAGTTTCAATGGGTTAAAGGTGATTAAAAGTCACACAAAATACATCCTATGACCACCACAAAGTTAAATTAGAGAACAGGAAAAAATATGGGAAATCTCCCAAATATGTGGAAATTAAACAAGACATGTCTAAATAGCTTACAGGCCAGAGGAGAAATCATTAAGGATACTAGAAAATATTTTTAACTGAATGGAAATGAAAACACAATGTATCAAATTGGTGGGATGTGACAGAGGCAGAGCTGATGGGGAAATTTATGGCTGTAAACACATCTACAGCAGAAAGGAAAGGTCTGCAATCAGTGACCTAAGCTTCTACCTTCAGAAACTAAAAAAGAAGAGCAAACTACATATTATTCAAGCAGAGGAAGGGAAAAAGTAAAAATCAGAATGAGAGAAAAAAATGAAAAAAGAAAAATCAACAAAAACAAGAGTTGATTCTTTGAAAAGATCAACAAAATTGACAAGCTTTTATAGCCAGACTGACCAAGAGGAAAAGAGAGAAGATGGAGTTTCCAGAGTCAAGAATGAATGAGGAGGCCTCACCACCAACCTCAGGAAAATTAAAAGGATTATGAGCAAATATTAAGAACGACTGAATGCCAACACATTATGACAACTTAGATGAAATGGACAATCTACCAAAGCCAACTCAAGAAGTAAACATTTGGAGCAGACTTACAAGAAACTGAATTAGTAATTAAAATCCATTCCATATCTCAGAAAGCCCAGATGGTTCACTAAGTTCACATGAGCTCTACCAAGTATTTAATTAAGAAATAATATTAATCCAGGGCACTTGGGTGGCTTAGTGGGTTAAGCGTCCGGCTTCGGCTCAGGTCATGCTCTCACGGTTCGTGGGTTTGAGCCCCGCATCAGGCTCTGTGCTGACAGCTCAGAGCCTGGAGCCTCTTTCGGATTCTGTGTCTCCCTCTCTCACGGACCCTCCCCTGCTCATGCTGTCTCTCTCTCTCAGAAATAAATAAAAAACTTAAAAAAAAAAAGAAATAATATTAATCCTCAAGAAACTGAAAAGACTTGGCACTGTCACAGCAGCAATTCTACCTGTATTGATCCACAAACTCAACATAATCCCTATTAAAATCCCAGCAGGTTTTTTAAAATTACAAATGGATGAGCTGAATTGTAAAATTTATATATGAATGGTGAGGACCTATAATGGCCAAAACAACTCTGGAAAGGCACAGCAAAGTTGGAGGAGACAGGGGCACCTGGGGGGCTCAGTTGGTTGAGTGTCCCACTTCGGCTCCAGTCATGATCTCGCAGCCCATGGGTTCAAGCCCTGAGTCAGGCTCTGTGCTGACAGCTGGGAGCCTGGAGCCTGCTTTGGATTCTGTGTCTCCCTCTCTCTCTGCCCGTCTCCCACTTGCACTCTGTCTCTGTCTCTCTCTCTCTCAAAAATAAATAAACGTTAGGAAAAAACCTCACTCTGAAATCATGGTCATAAAGACTGCGTGGTCCTGGCATGGGATAAACACAGGGTTTTTGACGGAAGCGTCAAGATCGTCCGACAGGGAAAGGATTGTCCTTTGAGAGGCTGGTGCTGGGATTAGTAGATAACGACAAGCAGAACGGATGAAACGTTTACCTCTGGCAACGCCCATGGGTCCACTGCATGTACGGGCTAAGTCAAACACCGTTCTAAATGGAAGGAGCAGGGAAATGCTTCATGACGAGTCTGACAGCAAAAGCATGACTCATCAGAGAAAAACGTGAGGAAATGGACTTCACCAAAATTGAAAGCTTTTGCTTCGAAAGACCCCGTTGAGAAGGAGAAAAGACAAGTCACATGCTGGGGGCAAATATTTGCAAATTGTGTATCTGGGAAAGAGCTATAGTAGGGGCATCTGCGTGGCTCCATCAGTGAAGCGTCTGAATCTTGGTTTCAGCTCAGGTCATGATCTCACAGTTTGTGGGTTGGAGCCCCATGTCAGGCTCTGCCCTGAAAGCACGGAGCCTGCTTGGGACTCTCTCTCCCTCTCTCTCTGCCCCTCTCTGGCTTGTGTCCTCTCTCAATAAATATATAAACAAACAAACAAACAAAAAACATTTTTTAAGAAGAACTTACACGGAGACTACAGAAAGCACTGCTATAACTCAAGAGTAAGACGCCCTAATTAAAACAACAGGCCAAGTATCTGAAAAGACGTTTCACCGAAGATAGAGGCGTGATGGGCAGACACAGGAAAACATGAGCATCTTCGACAGTGGGGGGGGGGGGGGGATGTGAATGAAAACCGCAATGGGATACTGCGTCACCCCGACCAGAAGGGCCGTCCTGAAAGCTGCAGGCACTGCCAGGTGTCATGGAAATGCAGAGAAACCAGACCCACATGCATTGTCGGTGGGAGCGCAAAACGGTGCAGCCTCTCTGGAGAGCAGTTTGGCACAGTTTCGTAAAACACTAAGCACAAAATTTACCGTGCAGTCTACCAGCCCTACTGCTAGGAATTTACCAAAGAGAAATGAAAACAAGCGACTACAGAGACATGTAATGAATGTTCACAGCAGCACCATTCACAACAGCCTGAACCCGGAAACTACCCACGTGTCCGCTGACTGATGAGGGGAGAAACGCAAGGAAGTACATCCACCGAATGGAGTGGTACCTAGCAATGAAAAAGGAATAAACTACGGGGGTACCTGAGTGGCTCAGTTGGTTAAGCTTCTGACTGTGGTTCAAGTCATGATCTCACAGTTTGTGAGTTCGAGCCCCGCGTCGGGCTCTGTGCTGACAGCTCGACGCCTGGAGCCTGCTTTGGATTCAGTGTCTCCCTCTCTCTCTCTGCCCCTCCTCCACTCACACTGTCTCTCTCTTTCTCCCTCTCTCAAAAATAAACTTAAAAAAAAAATAAAGAGAAATAAACTACTGATATATACATAACAACATGAATTAATCTCAAAAACAGTATTCTAGGTAAAAGAAGCCACATGCAGCAGGCTGTGCGGTAGATCATTCCACTGATACGAAGTGTCCAGAAAAGACAATTTACAGAACAAAACACCAGATCAGTGGTTGCCTAAGGCTGAGGGGTGGGAGTAGATATTAATTGCTAAGGGGCAGGGGGGCATCTTTTGGGGTGCTGGAAAAGTTCTTAAATTGGTTTGTGGCTAAAGCTGTACAACTGCATGAATTCACCCGAGTCACTGAGTGTACTCTTACCGTGGGTAAAGCACCGTCTGTAAATTACACCTAAATAAAGCTGTTCAAAAATAAAGAGGCTTCATCCTGTTAAGATACACATACAGCAATATTAACAGAAGAGAGGCCAAGCTGCCTGGGAACTGCTTCAAAACCACCGGGGAAGGGGCGGCGGGTGGGGCTCCGCATGACAGGATCGGCGGGGCGTCCGTGACTTCTGCAGCTGGGTCACAGGGACACGGGGATTCATGACGCAAACAGGTCTGGTTTTGTCTACGTTGGACATTTTCCACAATAAGGATTTAAAAAACAAACAAACCCAAACACAGTGACCCACGGGAGGGACACCGCCGCCTGAATGCCACGGTTCCGTGTGGTATAAACTCCCCTGCGGAGCCTTGTGAGGGTTTTTCCCTAAAGACGTCTATGCGGCATTTCCCCAGGCTGCTGTAGCTGTGGCGGGCGGCGGGCGTGCTAACCTGGGGAGTAGCGCATCACGGAGAGCTGCTCGTTTCCGTCCGTGTGGACGGTGACCAAGTCTTTCGTGTCCGTGTCAAACACAAACCACCTGTTGTGAACATGAGAAACAGCACAATGAATTGTTTGGTGAGACAAGGAAGGAAGACTGACAGCCGACAGGAACTATTAGCAACTATTATTCTAAGGGCTTAATAAGTACTCTTTGCAACAAGGATGCTTGTTACCGACTTTAATTTAAAGGAAAGTTCCTGCACATGAGCATTTCCTAAAGAAAGCAGCAGCACCCTGGCTTCCCCTCGCAACGATTCCATTCCAGTGTGGCGACAGGTCCTCAGTGTCTGCATTTTGCCACTTACATGTAAAAGGTCAGGGAGCCCTGGGCAGGGAAGGTGGACCCACACCTAACGCCGGGCCCGTGGCCAGAGGGAGCATGAGGGGGCTGCCTGCAAGGGCTCTTACCCCGAGAGCAGGCCTGGCAGCGGGGGGTGGGGGGCGCTGGGAGAGCGTCGTGGTGTCTGAGCGTCCACGAACGGTGGCGTGCACCGGCCAGGGGACGGCAAGGGTGGAGGGGGTGGGGTGAGGCAGGGTCAGGTGCAGGACCGGTCTGGGCTCTGTGTCCTCAACTGCTGTGCAGAGCTACACGCGTACGCACGAGCTTCGCGCCCTCCGACGAGGATGTGGGACTCGGTAAGCGTGAGCTGTGGAATGATCGCGCTCTCCTGCCTGTGTGTTCTCGGGGGGGTGCAGTCACCGGGACTGCAGGGGTCTTGGCGTTGAAAAGGACTGTGGGTGCCCTGCTGCGGTGGTTTCAGACCTCGGGGACCCCCGATGGCGTGCATTCTGCGGGCGTGCCCACCGCGCGGCACTACTGTTCTCCAACTTCCAGTTGGGCCCAAACACGGCCTCCCAATGGGACGGGCTGGCCCCTGGATTCTGGGTGTGGCACCCCGACTGATTCCTTGCATCTCCAGCAACCGTTTACTGTTAACGTCCATCTAACATGAACAGAGGTCAGAACACCAGAAGCAGAGGGGCTGGGGCCGACCAGGCTAAGGGTGGCCCTTGGACCAGAGATGGGGCAGGCGTATGTGGGGGGGACCAGGTGCCACCTGCCATCTCTCCCGCCCGCAGGCCCCTGTCTGTGGTTCTGAGCTTCCCGACACTGTCACCGGCCCCCGTCCTACTGCCACGGTCGCAAGCTGGTCTGGCGATAACCGGCCATCAGCCATTCGTCAGAGCCTGAGTCTGAAGCGTCCACTGAGAGTTAAAAGGAAGGAGTGTGTGTGTGTGTGTGTGTGTGTGTGCAAGCGCGCGCACACAAACATTTTCATGAAGAATTCTATTGGCTATGAAATGCCAACAGAATGCCAGCACTGCTGCCTGTGACTTGCGAATGGCCACTCTTTCCTTACACTCACCCCATAGTCATCACAACAGGGCCCAAGGGGTTCGCTTTCCAGAGAGGAAAGAAGGTAGGAAACCGCCAAACATATTTGAATGAAACCACAATAAGCATATGTACCATGACAAAGAGTATAAAAGTGCAATCAAAATATACAAAACGATAATAACGCTAACCGCCGTCCTGCCTCCCAGGCAGCCCCGTAAAATGCTGCAGATACTGTCGCCTTCAATCAGCAGCTGTGTGGCCGGGCAGACACTGCTGTCAAAATCCATAAAAAAGCAACAACCCAGAGAGGTTGTTTAACTGGCTGGGAGACACATTGCTGCCCAGCGGCACAGCAGGGATTCAAGTGCAGGCCTCCTGCCCGGCACATGGGAGGCGCGTGGTACGTAAGTGTTACTGGAATCTGAATCTGAGCCTCAGGATCTGGGCAGTTTCTACCATTTTGAAAGGGCAGCAAGAAAAAGCATCTTTAAATTCTCAGAGCTTTGAAATGCTTTCTCGCCGGATCCCAGAGCTGAGGTCCCTCCCACAGCCTGCAGGTCAGGGCTTGAGGAGCTCCCAAAATATCCCCAAACTGTAGAGAAGCACGTGCATGTGTGTGTGTAGATGGTGGGGGTGGGGGGCCTTTTCTAGGAGAAGGGTCCATAGCGTCCCTGAGATTCTCCCACGGTCCCAAATGCAAGGACCATTGTCTTTCCTGTTACTGTCGAGACGTGACTTAGTCCTTGGTCAGTTGCTGGAAGCTGAGAGGGACAGCAAGAGCTAGACCACGCCCGTCCCCATCCCCGGGGAAACACAGATAGCAGCCGCTTTTCCACGGACTCTGAGGGCACAAGCCATGCTGGCATGGACTTACCTCCCAGTCAGTGTTCCGACTGCAACCACAGACCCTGAAGGATGAAAACCAGAAGACTGAGCTGGGTCCTAAAATATTTTAAAGGAAGTGTAAATTGATGGCCAGACACAGCACGACTGCAGAAAACACACGCACGCATGTATACACACACACACACACACACACACACACACACACACACACACACGGCTCTTCCAAAGGGCTACACGGTCCCATTTAAACTAAATGTTTCCTGGGGCACCTGGGGGGCTCAGTCGGTTAAGGGTCCGACTTCGGCTAAGGTCATGATCTCACAGGTCATGAGTTCAAGCCCCGCGTTGGGCTCTGTGCTGACAGCTCAGAGCCTGGAGCCTGTTTCAGATTCTGTGTCTCCCTCTCTCTCTACCCCTTCCCTGCTCACGCTCTGTCTCTCTCTGTCTCTCAAAAATAAATAAATGTAAAAATAAAAAAAAAAATAAAATAAACGTCGCCTTTCTCTCCAAGAGAGGAGACTGTTTTCCTACTCCGACGAAGGTCACATGTCAATAATACTAAACTTGTGTCCCTTTAGAACTTTTCTCTCCCCGTCTTCTATCTTTTCATACCTACAGTAATCAGATGACAGGCCAACAGGTAAACACTCTCCCTCCAAGTCCTGGAGGAAGACTCGGTTGACCCCCACACTGAACGGTAAGCCTGTCGAATAGGTATGCTTCATTTGCCCAGAAATATGTCCGGCGTGCCCAGTGTCCGCAGGGGACCCTGGGCGAGTGCCTGCTGGGCGCAGCACACCACGGCAGCCCTGGAGGGATCTCGAGATGGGTGAGGCACATCCAGGTTTGGATCCAGTGTTTGTTACTAACGTGTTCGTCACTAACTCTGACACAAGTGAGAATGTGGTCAATGACAGAGGTAAAAGCAAGCGGTCAAGTCACAGGGGAGAGAGAGTTAGATGAAGTTTGACGGGGAGGCTGGCTGGACGCTTCCTGGTGCAGAGCTCCTCCGACCCAGGCCGTCACGCACAGCGTCATCGGTGGTGAAGGAGGAAGTGGATGTTCCCATCAGTATTTTCTTGGATCAGGTGTGAAAGGGATGACAGCATGATCAAGAGGTAGAAACAACACAGTTTGGGGCCGTATTTGAGGAACAACAGGTAGAGAGTCAGGGCGTTTACAATGCGGAATGTTCCGGGGGGGGGACGGGAAAGCGTGCAGATGGTGCCAATGATGGAGGAGGCACTACCACGTGAAGGGCTACGGCCACTGGAAAATAATACAGCAGTGATGGTGATTATTTTTCTTTCCGTAAAAAGAGTGACATGATTGGGGCACCTGGCTGGCTGAGTCAGTGGGAGCGTGTGGCTCTTGATCTCAGGGTCGTGAGTTCGAGCCCCACGTTGGGTGGGGAGATTACTTCAAAATAATAAAGTCTTAAGAAAAAAGTGTGACATGATTGAATCTGTGTTTTCTACGGATCACTTGGTAGAAGTGCCTAGAATGCACTGCAGTGAGAGGAGACTAAGGACAGGAGAGTAGGAAAGGAATTCCCACGGGACTGGAAACAGAAAGAGGCACCAGACACGAGTGGATGGACTCAGAAAATAAGAGACTGGAGACTTTTAAGGTACTGATTCTGTTATTGCGGTGTTTCTCCCACAGCGGGGGCCGGGACCGAGTTCGGAGCCGCCACTGACACGTGGAGGGACATCGCCTCCACGTGAAGCTGTACCGCATGATCACTCAGGCTCGGGACGTTTTGGAGAGGAAGACCCACGGGTACACGTGTCCAAAGGCACGCGGCCAGTGTCAGAGGCTCTAGGACTTCAGCACAGAGCTTTCAGGTGCTGGCTCTGAGCCCCTCCCCCACGGCAGGCTGCGGGGCGGACAGTCAGGGGAGGGGGCGGGAGGGGGAGGCTGGTACTGCTTCCAGCGGGGCTGCCACCGAGCAGCGGGGGAGGCCGCCGTCCCCGACCACCACGGCCACTGCCGTGCCTGAAGGTCATCATCACCTGCGTGCAGCCCCCTCGGGTATCCCTCACCTGTCCCTCCAAGTCCCCCTTCCCCCCAGGACAGGTACAACACAGGACAGCGCTTCCTTCAGCCCACCCTACTGGCTGGGCCGCACCCACGCTTTCCTCTGGCTTTGTCGCCACCGTGCTCAGCTCTGCCGGGGACGGCCAGCTCTAGACCCTTGGTGACCTTCTCCAAAATGAAAGGGCTGAAGTGCGGGTTCACCCGGCTGGGAAGAGCCGGGGCCTCTGTGGGGGCTAAGAGGAGGAATGGGGTCTGCAGAGGGGCCGCCCCTGTCCCCGGACTGGCCACGTCAGCAAGGGCACAGGCCACCCAGGATGTACTGTAGACTCACTGGGGTCCCATGCGGTGGAAGACCCTGGGTGTAAATGCTGGCTTTGTCGCTTACTGACTTAGCGACCATGGCAAGCTAGTTGAGTTTCCTAAGCCTCAGTTTCTACGTCTGTACCACCACTCTGCTAACTACCTAACCACCACTCTAACCACCACACGCTGCTGCCAGGATCAAGGATAATACACATACGGTGCCTGGTGCTCACTAACTGTAGCCGCTACCATGTTCCGCATAGGGAGAAGAGATTTCAGCACTCTGACGGGTAATCTGAGTTCCTTTTGCAAAGATCACAGAGTTGCTGACTTTAACACTAACGCATCATATGGGCGCCTGAGTGGCTCAGTTGGTTAAGCGTCCGACTCTTGATCTTGACTCAGGTCATGATCTCACAGTTTGTGGGTTCGAGCCCTGTGTCGGGTTCTATGCTGATAGCACAGAGCCTGCCTGGGATTCTCTCTCTCTCTGTGCCCCTCTTCTGCTCTGTCTCTCAAAGTAAATAAACTTAAAAAATTAAAAAGAAAACCCAGACTAGAGCATCGTCATCAAACTCAAACTGAAGAGATACGTTAAGTCATATGCATACACTCTCATTCCAAAGGTACACCGTAAACAGGATGCGGGCTCATCACAAGGGTTTCTCAGCACGGAAGCCAGTTAAGGACTCTGCCCTCAGGAGACCCCAAAGCCCAGCTCCGGAAGGCTAACTTGCTGTTGAAAAATTCAGCAGCACATTCAGAATTCCATGGATGATGCCACTTGAAGCAATTAAAGCAATGCCATTCGAAGGAGGTAAACCCGGTGACGTCTACTTTGGGAGAGTTTTATGTCACTATCAAAATTTCATGCCAAAAAAATAAATGAACACATTCTAGATGAACTGGTATAAGAAAAATGGAATGTAACGTGCACGTCTACCTCTATTATTTTGTCCCAGACGGGCCGGTGGCCAACAGCGTCCCAGAGAGTGGCGTGCCTGTCATGCCCACAGGTCAAGAACTGAGGTTTCGAGGCATGGATGGCCAGTCCCCAGAGCTCGTCAGTGTGGCCCTGCAAACACAGGGGAGGCTCACTGAAACGCGCCCGTCAACACTTGGAGCCATGGCGGGGGGGTACCCGCCCACGGCATGCGCCCACCTCACACGGCCCTCCTCGGCTTCCCCTCCTGCCCGACCTAAGTCATGGCAGGAACTGAAGCGCTGATCTGAGGAAGGTCACGTTGGTCTCAAACAAAGGAGTGATTTCTGTGTAATACTTTATTATATTCTAACAGCACGTAACATGAGGCGGGCCCGCTGAGCCGGAACGCACCTGAGTGATGGGTGCAAAGCCCCCGGACAAGGTGCCCTGCAGAACAAAGTTTCTGGTTGTGCCGATCAAGATGACGTCGCCCTTCCCCTCGGCCACCGTCCGGATTGGACCAAACTGCTCCGGAATCTGAAGTGAAGAGGAAAGATCGAAAATGTCATTAAATATTAGCTCTGCCATTGAAAATACCTGTTTATGTATCATGATGATAGCTCCCCTCCCATCTCTCTCTCTCTCTCTCTCTCTCACACACACACACACACACACACACACACACACACGTACACACGCACACACGCACACACGTACACACATACAACATGGAAAGAAAGGTTCATGGCCAGCATTTGTTGAGTGAATGATCAAAATCCGAAATCTGACTTTTAAACTCCAAACATGTATGTACCTTAAAAGAATCAGCAAGAGTAAGGTTGTTAAAAAACCAATAAAGAATGAAGCATTTTTTTCTTGCTAAGATTAAGAAATAAGAAATAACAGCTGTGCTGACAGCTCAGAGCCTGGAGCTGCTTCGGATTCCATGTCTCCTTCTCTCTCTGACCCTCCCCTGCTGGTACTCTGTCTTTCTCTCTCTCAAAATAATAAACGTTAAAAAATAAATTTTTAAAAAAACCTTTAAAAATAAAATGGCTATTTTATTTTGTGTGAATTTTATGTCAATTAAAAAAAAATTAACATTCAGTGATGCCTGGGTGGCCTGGGTATCTCACTCGGTTAAGTGTCTGACTTTGGCTCAGGTCATGATCTCGGTTTGTGGGTTTGAGATCCACGTCAGGCTCTGTGCTGACAGCTCAGAGCCTGGAGCCTGCTTCAGATTCTGTGTCTCCCTCTCTCTCTCTGCCCCTCCCCTGCTCACAATCTGTTTCTCTCTGTCTCAAAAATAAACATAGGGGTGTTTGGGTGGCTCAGTCGGTCCAGCGTCTAACTTCGGCTCAGGTCATGATCTCACAGTTAATGGGTTTGAGAACCAAGTCAGGCTCTGTGCTGACAGCTCAGAGCCTGGAACCTGCTTCAAATTCTGTGTCTCCCTCTCTCTCTCTGACCCTCCCCTGCTCACAGTGTCTCTAACTCTCTCTCAAAAATAAATAAAACATTAAAAAATTTAAAAAAGAAAACAAAAATAAACATTGAAAAATAAAACAAAAGAAAAGAAGTTGGAAAAGTTCTAGAACATGTCCATTCTACTCTAAGGATAAAGACCATCAACCTTCAGAATGATGCCGACCTTGATGTCTGTCTGCTCATAACTTCCCTGGGACCTGGGACAGAAAATTCAGTGAGGGTGTGGAAGGCATATTAAATTTCTTGCCTGGAATTCCCACTGGTGTGCAGGGCTGCTGATGTAACGAGGAGGTAAAATAGATACTAAAAGGAGTTAGAGCTTTAGAGAAATGTGTTACCATTTGGCCATGTACAAAGTAATACTCAATAAACATTAGTGATCATGTCTCCAAAGTAACACCTAGAAATTAAAGTGGGAAGGGAAGAAAGATTTTAATGAAAAATCATAACGTGGGTAACATTCCCTTGGAAAAGTGAGATCGTCCTTTCATAAAGATATTCTGAATGTCAAACACATTATAACCTGACATTTTATAAACCAAATTCCATTTTAGTTGTTAAACTGCCTCCACGATTTTAATAGAATGTTATCCCACTTAATAAAACCTCATCGAAATCATTTTCAAAACTGTAAACTAAAGATTTCACATGAATGAGGAAACTGGTTAATATAACAGTTTTAGGTTCAAGGTGAGTTTTGATACTGCTGCTTGCTGTCTTACCTCAGTTTTACGAAGTTTCTGATAGTTTCCATTCCAAGAAATGAGCTTTCGGTCCTTCCCTCCTCCCGACACCAGTGTGCCATCCCTCAACATACAAAGTGCAAAAATGCCGCCCTCATGGGCCCCTTGAACTGCATAGCTTATCCGATTTGTACCTAGACACAGAAGGAAAAGCATCCTCAGTATGTCACCAAAAGGCTCGCCTCCATACCCCACATTTCATTTTTGTTTTGAAAAGCGATCCTGTCAGTTAGGACATCTCTGCAGTGCGTGTCTCCGGGGTGCAGTTTCTAGAAGCTCACAAAACACCAGACAGCCATGCCCTGGGCTACTTTAGAATTCAGGAGAATTCTCCCACAATGACAGAGAGAGCATGGGGGAGTCCACGTGGCAGAAAACAGGGACTGGGGTTTACATCCTTTTTTTTTTTTTTCTTTTTTTCTTTTTTCTAATGTTCTATTTATTTCCAGGAGAGAGAGACAGCGTGAGCTGGGGAGGGTCAGAGAGAGAGGGAGTCACAGACTGAAACAGGCTCCAGGCCCTGAGCTGGCAGTCAGCACAGAGCCCGACGCGGGGCCCGAACCCACGAACCGCGAGATCATGACTCAAGCGAAAGTCGGACGCTTAACCGACTAAGCCACCCAGGCGCCCCTGGGGTTTACATCCTAACGTGCTGTCTGTCCCTTGACAAGTGACTTGGTGACCCTATACCTCAGTGTCCCCTTTGTGTAATGGGGCTCTTGCTCACCCCCCAGGGTTGTGCCAAGCCTGAAATGGAGCGATGTTTGATGACTTGCTCACGTAGTAGGAAGGACACTAGAGAAGTTGCCATGTTAGTCTGTAATTGCATCCATGGGTCTCTTTCCACCTTCACCCCAACCCAGACTTAGAGTCCTGTAAGGGCAGGGATGGCGTGTTTTTCCTTCCCATGTCCAGCACGCTGCCCTGCGGCTGTCTCCCAGGGGCCGTGTGGACCAGAAATTTATTTAAGTATCTTACAGCTCAATAAACAGTCAGTGACACCTTCATCATTATAAATTGTTAAGAGATCTCCTAATCTCCTAATAAAGCTATTCCATCAAACTACTTTGGGCTTAAAGAGCCTTTTGTAATGATAGAATGTGACTATTCTTGTTTTCGTCTGCTCTAGTCTTTTTTTTTTTTAATGTTTTATTTATTTCTGAGACAGAGAGAGAGAGACACCGTGAGCAGGGGAGGGTCAGAGAGAGAGGGAGACACAGAATCTGAAACAGGCTCCAGGCTGTGAGCTGTCAGCACAGAGCCCAACGTGGGGCTCAAACCCACAAACCGTGAGATCATGACCTGAGCCGAAGTCGGACGCTTAACCGACTGAGCCACCCAGGTCCCTCATCACCTGCTCTAGTCTTAAAGTTTCAAGTTACACATGTATGTATGTACCTAGAGAACTCAGGATTTTACTGTAATCCTATCATTTCTATTAACAGACAGTTCTTGGAGAAGTCACGTTTGGCTTCTTATAACGTTCCCCTAAAAGCCTGTGCTCTGGGACCAATGACGTGTTACCTTTTCCCCACACCAAGATGTTGCCGCTTGAATCTCCGGTAATGGTGTCGCCATTTTCAGAAAAAGTCACGCAGAGGACGAACTTTGGCTTTTCTTGCTTCTACAGATTGTTGGGAATATACGTACACATTGAGTCAAGATGTATGAATAGCACCCAGAATCACAGAACCCTGAAGCGGCCTGGTGCTAGCTTCTGCTACGACACCCTGCGCCTTTCGTTTTCATCCCTCATTACATAAATCATGCCATGAGATTAGCTGCTCTAAAAGACGTTTCCGGTAATGATAAAGCTGCAGACAGTTGGAGCAGAGGAGGGGGTTGGAGGGGCTGCGGAGCGGGCTGGGCTGTCATGACTAGAGCTTTAGGAACAGGGCCCTGACACCCGAGTAAAGCAGCCCTAACTCAGTGGCCTGGGTAGTGGCAAAGGCGCCATAGAGGAGGCGGCGCTGTCCCTGGTACTGACAAGGCCTGTGCGCCTTCTTGCTTATTTGCAACCACCATAAGGTGGGAGGGGGCTGCCCTGCCCCCAGGGCATCCTTCCCTGAGCTTCTCTCTGTGTTGATCCATCTTTCCTTTTCGGTATAACCACTGTTACCAATAGAGACACAGGGAGCTCCCCAATTCTGTGAGGGATCCCCAGGAATAGTCTTTATCACTACACCCCCCAGAGACTCGCACATTTGCCAATTAAAACAAATTCTAAGCTCCCTTAGAAGAGAGCTGATCACACGCACCACCCAGGGAAGAATAAAACAAGTGTAACTTAACGTTACCTCGAACAATCCTTGCTTCTTAATAAGGGAGTTTCCTTCTAAGGTCCAAAAGTAGAGATGTGATTTTCCACAGGTAACTATTATATTTGTGTCCGTGGGGTGGAAATCCGCAGCAAATACAGCTTCGTTAGAACACTTGGAGAAAAACAGGAGAATCAAATGCCTCAGATCTCTTAGGACACTTAAAATAAATAACATCGGAACCACAAATAAATAACTCATTCAGTTAAGCACTGTGCCTTTTGATGTTTCTCCCCAGTGAACTCATCTTCCACAAACACTCAGTGTATATTTGCTGTTTGCCTTAACTTCTCCTTGTCTGTCTCCCCCACTGGACAGGAGCCCCGAGGACAGGGACCACGGGTCCTCTCTCTGTGGGCTCCCCACAGGACCCTACACAGAGCCGGCACACAGCATGCTTCTGATGAAGGGCTGGGTTAGGGGACAGTGGAGACTTAAAAATCACAAGAATTTGCTCTCATCTTCCCAACTCAGATTCCCAGCCATGGCTGAATGACAGAACTGCCTGATGTGTGTTAACATGCAGATGTCAGACCTCATCTCCATCTAGTGACTGGAATCTCTGGGAGGGGCCCAGGAACCTGGATTTTATACAGCTCCGTGTTGCTGGCTGACTTCGGCTGCCTTGTTTGCTCTGAGGGTGCTTCTTGGTTTAATTCCTAGCACTCTGCTGCTGGTCTGGTGACCAAGCCAGTTTCCAGGGCTGGGGATCTGGCTCTCTCCGTGCCATTCTACCAACTCCGACCCTGTCACCTTGATTTCCAGGACCTGTCCCCTTGTTGCAGGAAGCTGACCCTGACTGTTTCTTCTGCCTGAAATTCAGCTATATGCTATTACGCCTGGGTAATAACTTGCCCCTGTTTACTTCCAACCCAGCAGCATAGCCAGAACTGAAATACTTGACCAAAATATGAGAAAGCAGGGCTGCAGCATGAAAACAGGTGCTAGGAAACGTGCCGGATTAGAATACAGACCCCGCATCCCAGACGCTCAAGAGAGAAAGGTAAGGCGATCCAGCGCTAATCCTAACGTTGGGGAAGTAAGGTGATCTAAGGTTAACGGATGACAGGATGAGAAAGCTGAAGTCAATTCTGCAGAAACTGGGATCCATTCACGATTTTAATGGGAGGAAAACACAAGAAAGCTTCAGCAAAGCTCTGTGGCCATGAAGGGAAGCCCTAGGGCACCCCACAGGAGGAGTTGCACTGGGGGGGGGGGAATGAGGGTGGGGGGAGGGGCCTGGGATCGGGCAAGGCCCTTGCTCGCCTTTCCTGAGGCTCCTCAGCTTTGGACGAGCCCCGAGCTGGCTGTGCTGACCTGTCCCTCAGCCCTCAGCTGCTCCCGACCTGTCCCCTCCCCAGCTGGGCAGTGGGCACATCTCCCTTATCGTGTCTGCAGCGCACCGCCCCCAGCGAAAGGGCACGTTTGTTGAACGAAACAAAGCAGCAGAGAACAGTGAAGGACGGAGTGGGTTAAGAGGGGAGGGGCTGTAGAATGAGGAAGAAAACGACCTTACAGATATCATGACGATAGGAAGGAACCCCACCAGGACCCAGGATGGCACCCTGGGAGGGGAGATGAGGTTGGGGGGGATTCTCAGGGGACGCGTCATGCCCGGGGGCCACGTCGGGAATGGGGAGCCCACTGGCCGGCTCAGAAGCAGGAAACGGGCCCAGGAGCCAGCTGGAAGGAGGGTCCAAGCAGGGAGATTCTAGCACAGCCCAGCATGAGGTGTGGAGAGAGACCTTCACATCAGCCAGCCGCTCTTCCCTCTGCCAGTCCCACACGGACAGCACGTGGTCGTTGGAGTCGTCCACGGCACAGAGATTGCTTCCTCCGTTCTGGAAAAGAAGAGGCATTCACAGGAAGACTACATTTGAGAATAAAATAGGTTAAAAGTCATTAAAATGAACATTAATTTTACTTTTTAAAAAATATTTTATTTATTTCTGAGAGAGAGAGAGAGAGAGAGAGAGAGGCAATGTGAGCGGGGGAGGGTCAGAGAGAGAGGGAGACACAGAATACGAAGCAGGCTCCAGGTTCTGAGCTAGCTGTCAGCACACAGCCTGACACGGGCTCGAACCCACGAACCATGAGATCATGACCTGAGCCCAAGTCAGATGGTTAACCAACTGAGCCACTCAGGAGCCCCACATTAATTTTACTTTTAATGAAGAGTCCATTTTGGCTAAAGAACACGTACACACGGCTTTGGGGACCAGCTTCCCTGGCCATTCGGGGAGGGCAGGTGGATGCTGGGTGATGGCGGGACAGGAGGGGCAGAGAGGGGTCGGGGTGGCCCTGCCCCATCACTTCTATGAAGACCAGCCTGCAAAGGGGCTGCAGGACCCCCTTCTGGAGGAGCCAGTGCCCGCGGCACACAGGGCACACGTGTGTGATGAACGTAGGTCTGTTACTGGGAGGCGGTGCAGGAGCAAAGTCTGGGGCTGCGGCTCGTGGCATTCTGATGTAAACACGTGCACGCATGTGTGAATGTTAAGTTTCTGAAACAGCGGCTTAGAGGGTGGATCTGTCAAATGGGCATATCCTGAGGAGACTGGGAGACCATGAGGCCCCTCCAACTCCTGCTTAGGGACAGGCAGTCCGGGTGGTGGTGGGGGGGAGGTGGAGACACGCTCGGGCCGCCTACCAAGGGGCAGGTGAAATTCAAGGCCAGAGTCGGCAAACGGCCTCAAGGAACATGAAGCCGGTGCTGCAGGGCCTCCACCCATCATGTGTCACCCTGAGGGGACCGGGGAAGCAGGACAGTTTCAGCATGCAAATCTGTGCAGGCACCAGGTAGCAGAGCGGGTTAGCTTCCTCCCTCTTCAACCTTGAGCCGATCCTCTCCTCTCTAGGGGCAAGGACATGAGGACCCACAGGGCCCATACTTACAGATTTTGAGAATGCAATACAGGTGACGGCTCGGTCAAAAAACCCGACTCCAATGACATGCAGTGTGTTCAGCGTCACAGAGTCCCAGATGCGCACGTGGGGCGGCAATTGCTGTTTGGAAGGAAATGCAGAGTCACCCGTTGTGACGATCATACAAATGTATCTTTACCTCAAAGCTGCAGGATTACTTCAATTCTGTCCAAACCGAAGGTCTTTCTCTGCATTTGAAGACTCTGCCTTTTAACATAAATGAAACATTCCCAATGGCTTTGGGAGGTCAGGGCCCCAAGTGGCCAATTTAACTTTAGGGGAGGTCCAGCAGGTTTTAAATTTTTAACAGCCAAGTCTTCATAGCTGTATCACAGGAGCTGATATTCTAACTTATACACTGAGATGCGTCTGAATTTTAAAAATGAAAACTGACAGGGAAAACGGAACCTCATATTCCTTTAAGTCCGTATGATTACTAAGATGTAAATTAGTCTCAATTCAGCAAGATGGTCACCACCAAATAGTATTGACATTTGGGCCTCACAGGAGCAAAACAGGCAATCGGTCAGACACGGATGACAGTTAGAATTGTTACGATTTGTTCCAAACCCTCTCAGTTGTGTTCTCAGGTGAATGATCCTAAGATTTGTCTCCCTCAGTAGAAGAAAGCGGCACAGAACCCTGAGCAGATTAATCAGGAAAAGGACTGGCATTAGATGGTTAGTGGACAGAGTGGGCCGAGTCACTGCAGCAGCCTCTAGACTGGACTTGCTCCGAGTAGCTGGGCATCTGCAGAAAGTTCTCCTGGCCTCTCTGCACTTCTCGGCACGTGAATTGAAGGGCTGGCTCAGATGGCTTTCACCGTTTCCATGGCTCTACAGTTCTGATTCAGTTTCAAGGCCAGACACTGCAATACACTAATCACCCACTAGAGGGGGGAGCAAACGGTTTGCTACTAATTTAGAAGACTTTAAAAAGCTGACAAAAACTGAGGACTGATGGGTGTGGGGGGAAGGGGGGGATGGGCATGGAGGAGGGCACTTTGGGGATGAGCACTGAGTGTTATGTAGAAACTAATTTGACAATAAACTATTTGTAAAAAAATAAATAAATAAAATAGCATTTGGTTGAGATTCAAAAAAAATAAATAAATAAATAAATATGGACAAGGTACAATACATTTGAACAAACAATTGTCCCCAAAGAATACTGACTAATGAACATATAATTTGGGGAAGAAAGATTTATTAGTTTTCTCTAAAATCTTGTCATTGGTTCTCTCTGGCTCAATGTTTTTAATCAACAATTTTCTGGGCAGGAACATTTATCAAGTTTTTAAATAACTAAATGACACTGAAATTATTTCATAACTTTCTAGAAGACAATTTGCTAAAACATATCAAATCTTTTGCAATTTTACTTACTCTTGGACCCACAGTTTCACTTTTTCAGGAAATAGTCATGGATATTTGCAAAGATTTACTTATATGTGTGCTGATTATAGCAAAATATTTGGAAAAATCTAAATGTCAAGTAATAGAAGACTGATTAAATAAGCCATGTATATTTCCTTTGATCCAACTGTATTCTCAGTGCTCCTTACAATGCTATGATTTTTTAGGTATTTAAAAAAATATATCAAATAAAAGTAGAATGATCAGAGGAAAAAGGAAAATTATAAAACTATATGGTACAATCATATATACTATACATATATAGTATGATAGATAATAAAAGCATATGTACTATATGTGTGTGTGTATAGGGTACACATATTTGCATAATAAAGATGAGACAGATATACTAAAATGCCAAGTATATTTATTGCTAATAATGAGCTAGGGAACATCTTTGTTTTCTTCTTTTAGTTCATCTGTACTTTCTAAAAGTTCTGTCATGAATAGATGATTCTTTATCATAAGAGCAAGAAGCAATTAATAATATATTTGATTAAAAACCAATATTCAAGGGACACCTGGGTGGCTCAGTCAGTTAAGGGTCCAACTCTTGGTTTCAGCTCAGGTCATGATCTCACAGTTCATGAGTTTGAGCCCCGCACCAGTCTCCACTCTGGCAGCACAGAGCCTGCCTGGGATTCTCTCTCTCCCTTTTTTTCTCTGCCCCTCCTCTTCTCTATCTCTCAAAATAAATAAACCTAAAAAATGTCTTNCCTCCTAATCCTCCTATACGTGCAAACATATGGTATTTGTCCTTCTCTGCCTGACTTATTTCGCTCAGCATAACACCCTCAAGGTCCATCCATGTTGCTACACATAAGAATCGCCGAATTCTTAAGCGAGAACAAGGCTATTTAAAAACTGGCTGAAATTAAGCTAAGTTTGAGGGGTTTTTAAGGTCACTGTTAGAAAATCTGCAATAAAAAATTCTATTGAGGGATTAAGAAGCATTCAGCTGTGTCTGGGCAGGCTTATTCATCAGCACAAGGTTTCCAGAAGATTATACTGAGTTAACAGTTTGTTATAAATATACGAAAGGTAAGACAACTCACTTTTCCATCCTTAGATGTGCCAGCGACTTGTCCCGTGGCTAATGTGATCCTGTCGGGGTGAACTGCAAGGCTGAAAAGAGGGTATTTATAAAACATCCACTCTTTAAAAGTAAGCTTTACTTTTCTCTTGACCACGAAGAATCTAGTCAAAACTTTAAATATAGGGGCACCTGGGTGGCTCAGTCGGTTAAGCATCCGACTTCGGCTAAGGCCATGATCTCAAGGTTTGTGGGTTTGAGCCCCACGTCGGGCTCTGTGCAGACAGCTCAGAGCCTGGAGACTGATTCAGATTCTGCGTCTCCCTCCCTCCCTCCCTCTCTCCCTCTCTCTCTCTCAGAAATAAATCAAACATTTTTTTAAAAACCCTTTAAATACAAGAACTGTATGGTGCCTGACTTGTTATGGACTCACCACAGAGCCTCCGAGCACCCCAAGAACTGTGGGCAAACAGTGCCTAAATCATTCCATCCTTTCTCAAGAATTTCCAAACTCAAGGAAAAAGCGTCCTTTGCTTGGAAAATACTAAGTCTACAACAACCTTGATTAAGTACGTTAAACAGCAAAATATCATCTTTAAAAACATTTTTTAATGTTTATTTTTTGAGAGAGAGAGAGGAGAGAGACAGAGCGTGAGTGGGGGAGGGGCAGAGAGAGAGGAAGACAGAATCCAAAGCAGGTTCCAGGGTCTGAGCTGTCAGCACAGAGCCTGATGCAGGGCTCAAACCCACGAACTGTGAGATCATGACCTGAGCCGAAGTCATATGCTTACCCTACTGAGCCACCCAGGCACCTCCAAAATATCATCTTTTTCCAACAGGATTTTTATAATTGACCAGGGATCTAGGACAAATAGAAATAGGTAAATCCACCTGGTTTACAACCCATCCTTCCAAAAGCTCTAAGTGGATTATGAATATATTAAAAATGAATGAACTGCAGAAAGCCCAGAAAGAAATATGAATGTTTTTACTTCTATTAAAAAATAAAGACCCAGGGCCACATGGGTGGCTCAGTCAGTTGAGCACCTGACTTCGGCTCAGGTCATGATCTCGTGTTTGTGGGTTCGAGTCCCACGTCAGGCTCTGCTGACAGCTCAGAGCCTGGAGCCTGCTTTGGATTCTGTCTCCCTGTCTCTCTGCCTCTCCCCAGCTTGTGCACTTGCTCTCTCTCTCTCTCTCTCCAAAATAAATAAACATTAAATTTTTTAAAAAAATAAAGACCCAAATTAGAATCTACTAGCATTTGTGTTTAAGAAGGCCCCCACACTGGGTCTGTGAGAACGATTTGGGTGACCTGGTTGGTTAAGCCTACATGCTCTAAGGACAGAAAACGAAACAGAGATGGGTGGTTAGCAGACCTCCGGCGGCAGACAACATGGAACATAAGGAGCCTTTCCAAAAGATCTTATTTTCTCAGAGCTCTTCTCCTCTCTTTAGTTATATCCCAACCCTGACTGCTTTCCACTGATGCCACTTCTACAGGGGTGAGGCCTCACCACTTGACGTCGTCGTTGTGGCCGGCGTAATGCCTCTGCAGCTGCTCTTCTACGTTGTACAGCACCACCACGGAGGCGATGAAGTACACCGTCTCCCCCGTCGGAAGCAAGTACAGGTTGTTACGACAGTCGCGACCCCGGTACCCATAGCTTTGTGTATGTCAAGATAAATCTGATTTGCTTTCCGAGCGGACAGAACATCAGCTTTATTCAACGGGAGCGGGCACTACCATTCTCTAAGACCAGTACCATCAACTTCTCTCATTTAAGTAACATTAGATTGTGGGGCGCCTGGGCTCAGTCGATTGAGCATTCACTTTATCTCAGGTCATGATCTCACAGTTCGAGGGTTCAAGCCCCGCATTGGGCTCTGTGCTGACAGCTGGGAGCCTGGAGCCTGCTTCAGAGTCTGTGTCTCCCTCTCTCTCTCTCTCTGCCCCTCCCCCGCTCATGCTCTGTCTCTCAAAAATGAACAAATGTTAAAAAAATTTTAAGTAACATTAAACTGGAAATACTCAGTGTCAAATACACCTGACTCCCCATAGGCAGGCAATAAAGTTGGAACTGGTCAGTGAGTTGAGGTGAATGCCTATTTTTAGAAGTTGTGGCTTTGTGCTATGGAAAAGTTGTTTTGAATTTCAATTTCCAATTATTCATTGCAGATATACAGAAATAATTGACTTCTAAATATTGATCCTATCAACACTGATGAGATCACTTACCAGTTCCAATAATTTTTCATAAATGCTACTGGATCTTATATATAGGTCATTATGTCTTCTATGAATAAAGAAAGTTTACAAAAAAAAAGAAGTTGTGGCTTTGTTTTTAGAAATTATATACTACATTTTGAAAGTGAATTTTTCAGCTTGATCACAAATGAACTTACTATTTTATTTACTAAAGGTAACTGGATCAGACATTTGTGAAATTTCTAGAAAGTGAACCATCTTCAATTTAGCTGATCAATCACAGACCTTGGGAGCAACAACCGGGGCTAGATGTCTTTGCTGAGCCATTTGGGTTTTACGGGAATGCCTATCTTCTCCACGACTAGTTTGCCTTTAAATTTTGCCAGTGGGCATCTGGCTGCCTCAGTCGGTGAAGCATATGACTCTTTATTTTGGGGTTGTCAGTTCGAGCCCCACGTTGGGTGTAGAGATTCCTTAAAATCTCTAAAACTGAATAAATGAATTTTGCCAAGCTGGTTTTGTGAAAGGCCCACTACTGTAACATTCTGTTAAATGGTACCAGCTTCGCTCTAGAATAAAAATCACCTGGGAACTGTATTTTGACACTTCCTTCACAAGAATGCTGGAATGTTCTGCTCCAAAATTTGTTTTCTCCTCCGTTTCCGTTGCCTTTCTTGCGTACCCCTAATTATCTTACTCACGGCTCAGATCTACCTCAGTCTCAGGCCTACAGGGCACTCCCCTTCCCTCCTGAATATCAGTTCTTCCACAGGAGAGGGCTGGAGTCCGGGTCCTGGAGAGAAGGCGGGCCCAGCTGGCTGCCATCTCTCATCCCATGCTCATCCTGAGACGCACATCTACCACTTGGGGACTGAAATCACCACTACCCTGTAGCTTCATGAGAGGACTCGGTCTGGTTCTAGAATCACGGCTGGGAAATTAATGGAATCCCTAGGTATGCTGCGGCATTTGTACCTTTTGTGGAAAACAAAATAGATCTGAAAATGTTAAATGACTACATTGACTCAACTATTCAGTAGTGTGAGGTCATAAGGACTAATCAAAAAACAACAACAACAAAAACCTCTGAACTTTCACATTCCTTATATTTTAAAGTCTTTTTTAAAAGTCTTCACGGGGCACCTGGGTGGCTTAGTTGGTTAACTGTCTGACTTCGGCTCAGGTCATGATCTCATGGTTCATGAATTCGAGCCCCGCATCTGGCTCTGTGCTGACAGATCAGAGCCTGGAGCCTGCTTCGGATTCTGTGTCTCCCTTGGTCTCTGCCCCTCCCCCACTCACGATCTGTCTCTGACAAATGAATAAACCTTAAGAACATTTTAAAAAAGTGGTGATTGGCTTGTATATACCTTATTGAGTGAATCATTTTTTATTGTAATCCAGGAGCTATATCTTTTACTTAAAATTTTTTTTACATTATAAAAGTACTTGTGAAAGGTTCAAACGACACTCCCACTACATATGCAAAAGGTAAAAACTGTAGACCCTCCCTGCCCCCAAGTCGCCAGCTCCTTGGGGATAATTTCCTCTATTAGGATTCTGGAATGTATACTTCCAAACCTTGAAAACTATTTTGAGAGTAAAACTTTACTTGAACGTGGATGCGAAAACATAATCTAACAAAAGTACCATTTATTTGGTGCTTCCACTGCTTCACAACTTCTAAAATATGAACAGAACTTAGGCTAGAAAAAAATGTGCTTTCAATAATGTTTTCCAGCCATGATTTACCCTAAAATTTAAGCCATTATTGACTTAAAGAAGACTCACTTCAATTACATGTCCCAAAACAGATGCTCATGAATGCTTAGGACATCTGAATTTGAAAATATAAAAAAGATATTTTGGGAGAGAAATTTAGGTACAGAGGATGATTCTAGAAAACTCCCAAAGAATATGATACCATCCTTTCAAATACTAATTCTTTTTTAATTTTTTTTAATGTTTTATTTATTTCTAGGAGAGAGAGAGACAGCATGAGCAGGGGAGGGTCAGAGAGAGAGGGAGTCACAGACCGAAACAGTCTCCAGGCTCTGAGCTGGCAGTCAGCACAGAGCCCGACGCGGGGCTCGAACCCACGAACTGTGAGATCATGACCTAAGCGAAAGTCGGACGCTTAACCAACTAAGCCACCCAGGTGCCCCTCAAATAGTAATTCTTCCAACTGATTACAACAGCATCGATTTGAACCCACTTCGTAGGGGCCCCTGGGTGGCTCAGTTGATTGGGTGTCTGTCTTGATTTCAGCTCAGGTAACGATCTCTTGGTTTGTGAGTTCGAGACCCGCTTGGGATTCTCTCTCTTCCTCTCTTTCTGCCTCTACCCCTCTCGTGCTCTCTCTCTCAAAATAATACACTTAAAAAATATATTTTAAAAATATTTAAAAAATAAATAAACCAGGGGCGCCTGGGTGGCTTAGTCGGTTGAGCGTCCGACTTTTGCTTAGGTCATGATCTCGCAGTTCACGGGTTCGAGCCCCGCGTCGGGCTCTGTGCTGACTGCCAGCTCAGAGCCTGGAGCCTGTTTCAGTCTGTGACTCCCACTCTCTCTGACCCTCCCCTGCTCACGCGCTCTCTCTCTCTCTCTCTCCTAAGAAATAAATAAAACATTTAAAAAAAAAAATAAATAAACCAACTTCTCAGAATTTATATTTGGGGCTTGGAATTAAACTGGTGCTCAATAAACATTTTGTTGAGGGTGAAGAGAGGATTTTTGCTCTTTGTCTTAAAATCTGCATGGGCTGGAAGGTGGCCTCCGCAGAATTCCTTTAAAGTAAAATAAATATAATAAAATAAATAAGGAAGACTAAAGTAAAAAATTTAAAAACCCCAACACTTAAGTCACCCCCTTTTCATAGGCTCGACTTCTTTGCCTTTCAGGTTTTTTCTGCCTGGAAGCTCATTCACTTTTCCAAATCTCCTAGTACGAAGGCTCCAGCAGCTTTACCTCAAGAACTAAGTCTTGACCTATTTCTGAGGTTTAGATTGGGGGTGGGGGGGTGGGAGGCTGTTTCTTTTCCTTAAAGTAGCATTCTATCTACTACATGTGGATTTTCTTCATGCCTCCATCTACTCCCTTCCCTCAGTCCTGGGGTTTTCCCCGTCTGATGTGACTCCTTCGGTGACCTTGCTGTTAGGCTCCCAGGGCTGGCCGGGCCCTGCTGGCCTGAGGGGCAGTGCCCGTCCTCTCTCCCCGGGTATCACTCTTCAGGTTTGGAAACCTCCTGCCAGCACAGTTCGGTTCAATGTCTGACATTCTCCTAAGTTTGCAAGCCCAGCACCTTCCCACATTCTCCGTGCTGCTTCCACGTGGCCCAGCAGAGCCCTCCTACGCAGGGGGCAGCCCCCGTCCCCAACAACCAGCTTTCAGCTTCACTGGAATCCTAAACTCTACGCATTTGTGATTATTTTCACCCAGCTCGCTTTTTTCTTAAAAGTGTTTAACTACCTTTATTATTTTTTTTAAGTTTATTCATTTATTTTGAGAGGGAGAGAGAAAGCATGAGTGAGCAGGGGAGGGGCAGGGGGGGAGAGAGAAAGAGAGAGAGAGAGAGAGAGAGAGAGAGAGAGAGAATCCCAAGCAGACTCCTCGCTGTCAGTGCGGAACTCACAAGCTGTGAGATCCCGACCTGAGCCGAAATCAAGAGCTGGACGCTTAACTGACTGAGCCCCCCAGGCACCCAACCCAGTTTTTAACTACCTTTATTCTGTTGGATAGACTAAAATTCAAGCCAGAAAGTGATGTATTTTCCCACGGCTCTCTAAAACAAACAAACAAACAAACAAACAAACCCCGAACCATCCAGCCAATCCTATAACATCAATATTTCCTTTTCAGGAAATTAACGCATCTGTATTTGACCACGAACCACAATCTTTCGTCCAGGAATAATGGGTCAGTGTCCCCTGAGCCAGAAGCACTCACGAAGTGAGTCCTCCCCTTTGCAAGGACACTGTACTGGGTGCTAACATATGGCCCATTCTATTAAATTAAAAAAAAAATTTTTTTTAAGTGTGAGCAGACTATTTGGCCTAATCAGTGAATAAAGGATACACCCATTCGAGCTTCAGTCTCTTGGTGGGCAGCTCGACTTTTGCTTCCAAATTGTAAGAGTCCACTTGATCTCTGGGCATGTACATGGTGACCGGGCGTCCGCGGAGAAACATTTTTACATATCCTTCCTCTACAAAAAGAACAAAGACCTCAGTGAGACACCCCGTGCCCCGCGGATCTGAAAACAAATGTATATCTTCTTTCGCTTCTTAATGTCCAGGCAGAGGCTCTACCTGCCCTTCGTGTGGTTTCTAATTAATGTGGGGGGGGGGGAGAGGGGGAAATAATGGAAATGTAAAGTTGCACAATGTATTTTATTTTGTTTTTTTAAAAATTTTTTGAACATTTATTTATTTTTGAGAGTCAGAGTGCACGTGGGGGAGGGGCAGAGAGAGGGGGAGACACAGAATCTGAAACAGGCTCCAGGCTCTGAGCTGTCAGCACAGAGCCAAATACGGGGCTCGAACCCACGAACCATGAGATCATGACCTGAGCCAAAGTCGGATGCTTAATCAACTGAGCCCCCCAGGCGCCCCTGAAGTCGCACAATTTAAAACAGAAGTTTTCACCCTGTTTCCTTTGGACGGGCTGCTTCCTTAAGTACATGAAATACATGAGAACTTGTAAAAGACAGGGAAGAACCAGATTCCATTATTTTTCCACGAGAGAAATGCTTGCATTTGTCTTTGCTATCAGGAGGGGAAGAAATATCACCTCACAAAGTTACAACCAATGCCAAAAACCCTTGGAGTTGTCATTGATTTCAACGTACGTACAATTTCAGTATCAAAATTCCTAATTCGATTACTTAAATCGTCTTGTGATATCGCAATGTAAAAATATATATGTATCTTTTCCGTTGGACACATTTTTTGAGTGTGAAGAACACACAATCAGCAGAAGTGCATGCTAGGGTGCACGTAAGAACGACAACGCTCAAAGCTAAGCTCGAAAGAAACAGAAGGACAAAAGACCCATTAGAGGGAGATGTTAAGAAATAGAACCTTCTAGAACAAACATTTTTATAATAAAATAACTTCTGATGTCTCAAGAAGTAACTATGGGGGCAAACGTAAAACCCAGTAGTACATCAACCTGAGACATGTGCAGTTTTAAAAAAGAAACAAGTTGGGAGCTTCTGCTAGCTTTTGGGATATAATAAGACCAAAGAAGATGTCCTGTGGGTTCCCGATGAGTTCGGTTAGAACTCACTGCAGATCAAAGGACCAGCCTTCACGGCACTTAAACTGGGTGGCCGCAGCCAGCCATCGCAGCTCATTAACTCAACAGAAAAGTCATCTGCAGAGGGGACGTTGGTGAGGAAAAGTCACGAAATAACTATGGTGCCGTAAGTACCACATTGACAAGTTAGTTTTTGTAAGTCTTGCTCCTAAGCGTCTTCAAACAACGCCACATGCGATCCCCCCTGCAAATTAGGAGGCCGTCACAGTGTTATGTTATCACGTGCGTGCAGGTCAGGCCTGCCATGCATGTGATGTGCTCTTCAGGCTACATATCAAGTCTGACTTTTAAGTAAGAGTCAATCCACGCTCAGCCTGCAGACCGTGTACCAGGCTCTGTGTCCCGTGGGCGCTCTGTTAGGATGCCGCCACGGGGTCCGTCCTCCCCAGATCCGCCGGGACTGGCCGATCGGTGGCCCTGGCACCTGAGGCTCTCCTGTCACTGCCTCACCCTGGGCACTTTATATTCTGCTGCCAAACCCACTGCAGCCCAAAGTGGGTCTCACCAAGTCCTGCCTCCACGCGACGACCTTGGCTGGCCCTCTTACCCGCTGGCTCCAAACGTCTACCATCCTGCCTGTTCTCCCCTAAGTAACCGCACCGGCCGTGAGCGCCCCATCTGGACCATCCTGTCTGGCCAGGAGAGTCTCCATTGCCCTTGCTCTTCTCCTCGCCCCAAACCTCTTTAATCCCTCCCCCAAATCTGGGCTCAGGGGACGGTATGGCCACCATGCCTGCGGGGCCTAGGAGCGCCCGGTGGAAGACAGAAGGGAGAAGAAAGCAGGCGCCAGCAAGCACAGAGCTGAGGACAAGGGGTTCCCTCAACTGCCCGTGTGTAAGAGGAGCCACAGAACGTGGGTGGGTAACAAAGAGGCTATAACGCCATCTCCACAGCTCGGCAGAGCCCTTCGCGGCCGTGATCGTCTGTGCGTGTGAAATACGGAGCGCATCGCAGTTGTGTGCTGGTTACAAGCTTGTGACCGGGGCTTACTTATCGCACAGTGTGAAACCACCGAACGAGGCCACAGAAAGCAAGCCCTGGATTTCGCCTCGGCGCTGCTTTGTCCTGGGCATTTGACGTCTCAAGTCAAAAGGCAGCGAAGGGAAAGCAATGGTATTTTCCAGGCAGGTTAGGACCACAGCAGGCAGCCGCGCACCGGAAGGCGTGGAGGGAGAGGCCAGCAGCGGTGCGGGGCGCCAGGCCAAACAGCAGGGCATCCAGGGCCGCCCTGCGGCTCTCTTCGGGTTTACATAACTCTTCCAGAGCTCCTGCCAAACCAGCCAGCAACCAAGCCAGATCGAGTGTACAGCTACTTATGAAAACCCATCCAAGGAAATGCGCAGGAGTGCTGTTTCACTTCACGCGGCGTGGCCGGTGTGACGGACACATTTTCATACGAGGAGGGTGCCCGCTTGCCTGTATGAAAAGGGGTTCTGCAGCCTGGGTAAGCAGCCTTGTTCAGACAGCTGGGGGGGGTCAGAAATGCCGCCTACCTTTGCAGTGTATCACCCGGCGTTTCCCTTGTGATTTCGGAGACAGGGACAGAAGCGCTAGATGAAGAGATAGCGAGAACTGCAGGAGGGACCTGGGCAGCTAGCTCGGGGGGCAGGGGTGGCCCCCTGTCCCTGAGGCGGAGCCTGCGGGGGGCTCGGGACCCGGCTCCTAGGTGTAGGGTGATTACAGTTTCAGCGCGTGATTTCATGCTTCCCGAACAGGAAACGAATACTAGATAAAGCACGTGCTCTACCTCTAGAGGGCTGACTTTATAGAAGTTTCAGTTCTGAATGGGCGGTGGGGGGAGGAAGAAATCAGAAAAGTTAAAATGAGACGGGTTTGTTTAACGAATGACATACTCGTCAGTGATTCTGCATTTTCAATGTGATTTTAAAGAAGGTTAATATCCTAACGATAGCACCTACCTTATTATAAAATGGGTTAAGAAAAGAAAAGGTATCCGGAAAGGTACATTATGAACTACTAGTTTGCAGTTTAGGAGACGGAAGGCAGAAAGAGAGGGGAAAGAAGCTCCTTTTGGACAAAGTGATCACCTAACGCATCAGGGAGCTTCCCTTTCGCGGGGTGCAGATGTTGCCTCGGGAGCCCCACGGGGATCAAAGGCAATGCTTCCATTTCCGCATGTGCGGTGACCTCTCACTCTCCCTCCTTATTGATGCCTCTTGAATCACTTTTCAAGGGGGGAAGGGAAAGGGTCTAGTCTTTGCCACCAAGTTACGGGCTGTGTCCGCGATCTGAGCCCCGACCCGCGGTCACAGGCTTGCCGGCACTTGGCTCGTCAGCCCCGCCACGCAGACTCCGCATGTGACAAGTGGCCCCCGGAATCGCCACGCGCGTGTCCCTCAAGTCCTGAGGGGAGTGAGGGGCACCCGCACGAAAGTGAAATCGGACTTACCTGCGCTGAAGACGGGCTCCTTGGGTTTGCTGTGGAGACGAAAGAGAAACAGGGTTTAAAGGGAGGCTGGTGGCAGCCCGTTAACCTCATTCACGAGAGACCCCCGCCCCCGCCCACCACGCGCCCGGCGTCAGCACAGGCCGGTCACACTGGTGCTGTGTCAGGGACTCTCGTTGGTGAGACGAACAAAACCACGCGACCGCAGGACGGGCCGGGTGTACGTGGGAATGTCCCAAACCAGGGGCCAGAGGCTGTGACCCCAGCTCTGTCGCCACAACTGAGCTGCTTGTGAGAGCAGGTGTGTCTGCGGAAGGGAAGTGCCTGATGAGGTGCGGACGGCCACGTGTGCAGGTCCTCCCCGTGCTCCTCTGACGGGTGACTGAAAGGACTTCTTTAAAACCAGCAGATGCCCGACCCGGGACCCTCAGAGCCCAGCTCCTGGCGGGGTGGCTACGCAGGAAGGAAAAGAGGGAAGACATGAGGCATACCAGGGGGTGCGGCCACCTACTGGTGCTGTGGGGACCCCGCTGCGGATTTCGGCGGGGCTGGGGCCACCCCGTGCCTGCACCTGGGAAACCAAACCCCCGGAGCATTCAAGGTCACGGCCCCTGGGGACGGCTTCCCCAGGGCGAGCTGCTTCGAGGAGCCCCCGGCTGGAGAGCATGCCTACTGCTCCCCGGGACAAGCACCTGCCAGAAGAGACCACCAGCTGCCCGCCAGACAAGGGGAGGGACTCTCAGGCAGCGCGGGAAGTGTGTCCTGTTCAAACCCAGGTCTGCCAGACCCCAGTGTCTACACCACTGTCCCGGGACACCCTGCTTCCTGGATTGCCTCCTGCTCTAAGATACAGAACAAGGACAGACTACATACATGAAACCCGCCCTGGGGGGCCACGGAATCACGCAGGGTTGTACTGTGCGTGCATAGTTTTTCAAAAGTACCCGAGCAGATGTAGTCCTAATATTACTTTTCTCCTCCAAGTTTTCTGGAAATATGTTGCGAAACACCACCAGGAAGAATTAGCTTTAATCCCACCATAGAATACATAATATTATCAATATGCTTGACTTCCAGATAATTCTATGCAGTGCCAGGGGGCAAACCCTTGACTGATGCTGTGGAAGTGCTTGGCAGTCTGCTCAGCTGTGCTGTAAGTGGCTGGGGTGTTGCAGGCTTCGTGTTCCGGACTCCAACCTCCGGTCCCTGAGAACTACTCTGAAAGGGGCGCCTGGGGGGCTCAGTCGGTCGAGTGTTTGACTCTTGATTTCAGCTCAGGTCATGATCTCACGGTTCGTGAGCTTGAGCCCTGTGTCAGGCTCTGCGCTGACAGTGTGGAGCCTGCTTGGGATTCTCTGTCTACCTCTCTGCCCCTCCCATGCATGCACTCTCTCCCTCTCTCTTTCAAAATAAGTAAACTTAAAAAACCTTTTTTTTTTTTTTAATGTTTTATTTATTTCTAGGAGAGAGAGAGAGAGAGACAGCGTGAGCAGGGGAGGGTCAGAGAGAGAGGGAGTCACAGACTGAAACAGGCTCCAGGCTCTGAGCTGGCCGTCAGCACAGAGCCCGACGCGGGGCTCGAACCCAGGAACCGCGAGATCATGACCTGAGCCGGAGTCGGACGCTCAACCAACTGAGCCACCCAGGCGCCCCTTAAAAAACCTTTTTTAATGAAAAAAAAAGATATTTAAAAAAACTCTTAGGGGCACCTGGGTGGCTCAGTCGGGTAAGTATCCAGCTTTGGCTCAGGTCATGATCTCATGGTTTGTGGGTTCGAGCCCCGCGTCGGGCTCTGTGCTGACAGCTCAGAGCCTGGAGTCTGTTTCAGATTCTGTGTCTCCCTCTCTCTCTGACCCTCCCCTGCTCATGCTCTCTCTCTCTCTCAGAAATAAATAAGAACATTAAAAAAAAAACTCTTAAAGCATGGCACAAAACTCTAAGTCTCAAGGGGGCCTCGAGGCCCTAATGCCATCTCTCCCGACAATGTTATCTCTGTCCGCACCTCCCTTTGCCGTCCCCTGGCCCATGAGTCTAGCTGCCTTGTCCCTGGTGTCCCTCACAGGTGCCTGGAGCTCCTGTGAGAGGTGACCGGCCTGGCTTCCCCTCCTCCTGGACACGTCCCACAGCCCCTGTGTTGTCTGTGCTTCTGGGCTCTTCCCGGGAGGCCTCTGAGGCGTTGCCACCTCCTGGGCCCTGCGTGACACACCCGTGCACCAGCCAGCGGGACTTCTCCGCGTGGCTCCCAGCAGCCCAATCCTTTCATGCTGCCCCCCCGCCCCCTCCCCCTGCGGCGGGTAAGCACTGTGAGGGCGGGGGTCTCGGCTCTGCTCGCTGCCGTGAGCCACTGCTGTGACGGCAGACAGCGCCACCTGGCACGGCGTGGAGGGGGGGTTCCCCCAGCTCTCCCAGCAGGTCCTCAGACTTCACCACGCTGTGCCTCCAGGGCTCTCTGTAGCTCTTCTGTCACCTGGTTCACAGTGTAGACAATTTCCCTTGGATCCTCTGCTCTGCCAGCCACGACAGTGGCATGCCTGTGCCTCACAGGGCGTGTCTTTCTGCAGTCCCGACCAGCTCCTGATCTGCCACGAGCTCCCTGAAGGTCGGCAGAAAGGTGTGCGTGCGGGTGCAAAGTCCCCTCTCCCCCCACCGTGTGCGGCACTTGCAAGATTCCAAACGACCATGACAGTCCACCCCACTTAATTATTCCATGAGCTTTCAGCTGCTTTATTCTGACGTGGTCCACGACGGCTCCTCTCCTCTGCAGCTCAACCCTGGATCAAAACAGCCATGGACCCGTCTGTCCCAAGCCAGGCTTGTCGCCGTGTGGATTTTAGTTCATCACCTTACTTTGTGACCTCAGCTCCATGGTGGCTTTAAAATAGCCATGCTTTTGTCCATCACGGGCTTGTTCTCGCTTCTCAGAGCGGGGGTGACAGTTCTGTGACCATCTAAGCGGAAACACAAGTCTTAACTCTGACTTCCACGTATGATGAGATTCACGGGCAGGGTGAGGGCGCCGGGGGTGGAGCGGCCAAAGCAGAAGCCTGCAGAGCAAGCCCACGGGTTACAGGACCATGATGGGGACGCAGGGCAGGGAGTGAGAAGACAGGAGAGCCATCTTTCCATCCTGACTTTAATCACAGAAGTAGAAAGACACAAAAGCCGCAAATGCAGGAATAAGCGACCCAGAGCCTTTCCTGGAGACTGGAAAGAGCAATTAGGAAATATGTTCCTCTTAAAGCGATCCGTAGGGTAGTTTGAATTCCAGACACACGGCAGCCCGTGGACTCCTGATGCCAGGCTGGCAACATCACAGGGAGAATCGAATATCTAAAAAGGCAGCGTGGGTGTGAACAGCCGAGGCTCGTGGAGAAAGGCACCAGGGTGCCTGAAGTGCTGTTAAGTTCTTACACTGCGTGTCACATTTTGGGCATATTGGATTTAGAATGGATACTCTTGTGGGGTTTCATTCTTTGAGAAAGCTACATTTTTATTTCATTCTTTTTTAAATGTTTATTTACTTGAGAGAGAGAGAGAGAGAGAGAGAGGTAGGGGTAGGCTAGGGGTAGAGGGGGAGGAAAAGAGAGAGTCTAAGCAGGCCTTGGGCCTGGGCTGCAGGTTCACTTGGTTCTGGGGGGAGACCGCCTCCCCAGTGCTGCGCGGTTTGCCTCTGATCACCTGCTCCTCAGTGTGCGCTAAGTGGAAAAACATAAGCGGGTGACGTTAACACTCCTGGACATCCAGGGCGTGCCTCCGTGGGAGAGGCTGACTCCACACCAGGACCACAGCGAGGCTGCACGCGTCCCTGTCCCCGTGGGGAGCCGACGCAGATCCCCCCCCCACCCCGCCGGAAGCCCACCAGAGGCATAGCCCAGCGGAGGCAACGGATTTCCCCTCTGGTGAGCAGACCCTCATCTCTTGGCTAATCTGCCCTTGGCAGTGGCCAAGATCTCCCGAACGGACAGCGTCGCCGTCAGGGATGGCTTTTGCTGCTCTGTTTTGGCAGGAAGATTTGCAGAAAGGGTTTGGCTGTGCGTTTCCTTGAGCTGGTTGGCTCGGGAGACCATCTCAAGGACTCTCACAAGCTAGAAGCAGTACCTGGGGACCCACGGAAGATGCAGGGCAGTGGGGAGCCTGGGCCAGACCCACGGCTGGCTCTGGGGGCAGCAAGAGAAAATCAAACAATTGAGCAGAGGAAAAGCTTGCGCCCTGAGCCGTGAGCTCACACGCACACAGTGGCTACAACCACCTGAGTCTACATGGTGCATTATCAACTCCCTGGCAGTGTTCAACGGGGGCCCCGGGCACAGGGCGGGGTCTATCAGTGGCTGTTTTTCTTTTCATTGGCTAACACCCACCTTGCCACACGGCAGGCTGGGTGTGTATAAGGAGGGAAGTCCGGCAGAGGCTCAGACTCCGATTTAACGAGCACTCGCTGCGCTGTGCCATCCTTCACAGCAGGGTCTGCACTAGGCACTTCCGTACCTGGTACCTCATTTACCCCACGTGCCTGAAAGGGGGCTCAGGAGCCCAGGTCCTGCGCACTGCAGATCTGACACTTGGGTGACGTGTGCGATACCTGGGCCACCCCTGGGTGATCAGGATCAGAGCAGAGCCACAAGGGGTCAAATGCCATTTGAGCAGAGAGACTTGCTTGCAAAAATGATTAATGAGACTCCATCAAAAAGGATACCATTCCAAAGTCAAACATGTTATTTCCCTGACATTTGTTGGCCTATAAAAACTGTAGCTCTGGGCATACCTACCATGAGTCCCTTCGAAAAGGATCTTGCTTGATGTGACAATCAAAATACTTTACCATGTAAGTAATGATTTGCTACATCAATGCCCTTAAGCAGCTTTCTACTAGAAAGAGGGTCAGTTAGGAAACATCTAAAAGAGTCTGGAAGTCACTGGAGACCTTACTGGGGACAAAGACAGTTTCAGAGACACCTCCAACCAGTCCTTCCTGCTTAATGCAGCAGGACATGCCCAGATTTTGAAGCCAGCTGGATGTGCATTCAGATTGGGC